TTTATCTGTGTGCCATGAGACTCTAAGAAAAGGAGTGCTGATCTAGGATGTTTTTTCAGGTTACCAGGACATATGAAAGTCAATCCATCATCAAAAATGTAGTGTTACCATTTTATATTTCATACAGCTGTAATCAACAATTTCGCAAATAATGTATATCTCATGGATTTTATGTGAAGAGCTAGTATGAAGTGTATCAAAGTCCCACAAGTAAGGGTTTTGTTTGCTGTAATTTAGGTTTTTGTTTTTTAATGAACATACAACAATATTACAGAGCCCAGGGTGATGTCTTTTTTAAGAAGCAATTCCTGAGCAAATGGCAACTTATTTTGGCAATTTAGGTTGAAAAACAACATCAAGATTTATAGGGTGAGAATGGTGATTTTCTATATTTCTTTTGTGCTAAACCCTTCCCATTAAATGACCAAAAACCCAATCGTCTGTGGCATAGAGCTCCATTGTTGTCCAAAAACTATTCACATCAATGCACACACTGTTGCAGTGGTGACATTTTCCTTCATTACCATGAACACACACTGTACATTATTTTCAGTCAATCCTCCATACAACATCCTGCTGCTGTACATACTCCAAAGAGCACATCATATGTATTACTCCGCAGCCAAAAGTAGTACTAGAAAAATGAAATATGTATAAAAAACAACAGCAGTTTAAGGGAACTATTCAGCCTTTATCCAAAGTGAATCTTAGCTTGTGATGCTTTTATGTTGTTAGTAGGAACCAATGGACTTGGAGCTGAGAGCCGAAGACAGAGTAGGGATGAAGCAAGTATTAAGGGACGGTCTTATGCATTGTTGATTTTGTGGGACTTAAAGAAACATATAATATCCCCAACCTCCTCCTTTAACAGCTTGAGTCGGTCATAAATCAAAAGTGTCAAGCCTCATCCTTTAATCCATTCTCAAACTTACCGGCAATTATTTTTCTGCTGATGAAGCAATTATATTATTATTAGAAGCTTCGTAGTGATTAACATAAAAAAAAGGAGTGCCGTTCATGTCTCTGCTGTAGTTTCCTTCCAGGTTTTTACATTTCTGGTTGAAATTCATTAAAAAAGAAAACGTGTTGGTTGGCTGTACTCAAACTGTCAATCAAGCACTTTGATTCCAATGTGATCCTTCACCACTGGGCTCTCGAGAGGCTGACCCACTTTACAACAAATTGCTGATACATTCATCTGCTCTTGTGTTTACTCGCGCTCCCTTCCTCTCTGTGTTTCTAGCCCTCTGCTCCACTTTTCCCCCAGCTGTGCACCAGCAGTTTCTCCTCACCCCTCACCCCTCCTTCTCCTGCACCCTACTTCTTGCTTTTATTATGTGGACAGGTACAGACAAGCCGTCCACTGACTGGGCTGCTCGTTGTTTTGAAACGTGATCTTCTAAAAGTGGAACACAGCTGAAGAACTGACCATCCAGAAATGATTCCACTTTAGCTCAGAGCTAAAGCTATAAAACTGTTCAAAACAAACTCTGAACAGCAGCAGCGTTATCAAGATTAACTCCATGAATTAAAAGAAAGCTAAACGACTGAAAACAAAGTTGCTTTTGTTTCCAGAACAGCAAGAGGCAAAGAAAACCCACATTTTTTAAAGCAAAGACAATTCTTATCTTCCATGAGTACTAATGTGAAACACACACAGCGTCTTATTGGCCAAGTCACAATAACCTGCGGCTGCAGTGATAGACAGGTGTGCAGATACTCAGCCGGGGCCGTGCTCAGCACACATCGCCTCTGGGCTCCAGTTTCGGCTGTTTCAACCTTCATGCATGGGCCAAGTATTCTCTGACACGCAGATTAACCAATAAGTGACAGAGCCTGTGCACTGCTGCCTGAAAAGTGGGGTAGAGCTCTTTGTTTGTCTTAGAAAATCAACTTATCTTAAACAAATCAAAGCAGCCACATTACGGTATTATTAGTAGGTGAATGCACAGGGTTTTACTCAGTAGGTGGTCTCTTTTATAGCCAAGACAAGTTCACGTCCAACTTTAGAGATACAATTCCACATTCCCCGGATGACTCGCACGCTCATTCCTCTGAAATTGACCACTAAATCGAGGCAGGCGACAAACAAAGCAGCTCCACTATGCACGTGAAGTAGCAAGGGCTGCTATTATGGGCTATTAAGGACGCTGCAATTTTGCACGCAAGTTTTGGAAAGTGACAGGCCCTCCTCGAACAATTGGTATTTTAGCCAAGTGATGGAAAGAAAAAAGTTGCAACACTGTAAGACGCAAAGGTAACATTTGCATTATAGGTTGTGGGAAAAGAGCCTGGATGTAAGAGAAATGGATACAGCATTGGAGGTGGGGCCTCCCCATAGGTTCATTCCTATGAACATTGCTCAGTGACACAGGAAGCCAAAAATGGCCTGACTTGAGGACAAGAATGTCAGTATGATCTGGGTTCTGGACTCAGAGAGCATGCGCATCTGCGTGGCCTATTATGATTTTTGGGGTGTTCCCTTTTTGGGTGTGTAATATAGGTATTTGTGCATGTAAATGGTCTGCAGAGGCTGAAATCGAACCGTTCACTCCAGATGGAGTTTCTCTCCAACACTCCTGAAATGCCCACATTGGACTCCTTTGTTTACTTCTGTGACATAGTAACATCACTATGTAGCACTCACGCTTCTATTGGTTAGCGCTTTGCATGAGATTGGCTAAGGGGCGGGACATCTCTATGTGGTTGACCAATCACAACAGAGCCGGCCAGCTAACCAATCAGAGCAGATTGACATTACAATACATTATAGAGCATAATGTATCCTCTTTAAGCTGGATTCGGCTTGAAGCACTTTTTATGACTTTTAGGACACAATGGTTTATATTATGGCTATTCAAGAGTTAGTACTGGGTAGCTAGCTAAGTCAATGGTAAAAAGTAATTCAATGACTGGCATGGAAGTTGTAATATCACAGTTTGGCCAACTAAAGTTTCGGCTCACTTCCTGGGGGCTTTGAGAAAAGGGTAAGGTGTGGCATCCTGGGACGCTTCCCCACACCATATGCAAACGCAGACAGTGGCTGTCTGGGAGGCAGGTGATGGGGCAGGTGCTCTCCAGACATATGGGGGGAGGGAGGAAGTAGGATGAGGGATGGGCCATGTGGTGAGTTATAAACCTCAGGGAGGCGTGTGGCGCAGTGGAATAGTGCGTTGGTGTTCAGATCAAGGGAGCACAGGTTCAAACCCCACTGCAGTCAGCATGTCGTTGTGTCCCTGGGCAAGACACTTCACCCCAAATTGCTCCTGTGGGGATTGTCCACAGTATTGAGTATGTAAGTCGCTTTGGATAAAAGCGTCTAACAAGTAACATGTAATGTAATGTAACATGCAGAGAGAAATTAAATGTACAGGAATATGCTCGCAGGACATTAACTCAGCTAAAGCAAATCACAATCATAAATCTTCTTTTTTCCCGTCAGTGTTATGATTTTTCAGAAAAACTGTTATCAGAAGTCAGCCATCGCACAGGGGATCTCCAGCCTATAATAAAGTGTAGTAAAACAGTTCAAGGTCCTGATTTATGCTGCTACACGTCCGCCCAACGTGCAGGTGGTGCGTTCCAGTCCAGACATACCGTAGTAAATCAGATAATCCAAGAAAACACCCACAGCTGTCTATTTGCACTCCAGACAAAATATTTACCTACAGACTCTCAGTACAAACAGCAACTGGCATGACAATACACTGAGTCATCGGGACGGCAGACAGAAAGGGCAGCCGTCACCTCAGCCCTGATGTAGTTTGGAAGATGTCCAGAAAAAAGTCTGGAAGCTGGAAGGGCTGCAACCACACATTACTTTTATTATTTATTAACTGTTGACTATTTATTAATCGTCATTTGTTTTGTTAATAAAGCGTCAACGGAATATAGTCACAAATCAACTTCACAGAGCCAAACAGTGTGTCCCCAGGTGTTGTGTTGGTGTTTACATCGACCAAGAGTCCAATTACGCAAACATATTTTGTTTACAATGATATGTAAGACTGTAGATGCCAAGATAAGAGAATATTAGAATTGTTTCACTTTTTCTACTTGAAAAATGTATGAAAAGATGAGTTAATTATCAAAATATTTTCTTCTCAGTTAATCAAATAACTATTTTAGGTCTAGGTGTTAATGGGTTACAGAAATGTGTCACAACTGGCATGCTGAGAAGAAGTACCCGCCTGCTGTAAGTCATAAATGCGCTGTTGCTTAACCCTCCTGAAGTTGTGTAAACGCTCAGTTGTAGGCTCCACATGAGTTAACCATAAAAGAAAAAGAAAACGACAGGCTATTGCCTCCAGGAAACGCACATATGTTCATGTGCACACACACACACACACACCGATCTACATACACTCCCTTTTAACTACCTGAGGCTCTGTCAGGTGTTCTTAGGCTAAAGCGTCCCTACACAGCCGTGTACAGTTTTTTAACAACCCCTCATCCGACATACTGCAGACATGCACTTACCTGCCCCGCTCTGCAACAGCTCACTGCTGCACTGTAACCATCACAATCAGGGCTCACCTCAGTGTGCACTCGCCTAGGGAGCTGCAGGAAACATTAATCGATGCAAGCAGCGAAGACTTCCAACTGAATATATGAATAGTGAGGAAAATCATCCCACTGGCAGGACATGTGCATACACTTATGTTTGGTTTTGTGTTTCATGAAAGTGAGAACAATGGTAAAACTGTCAGATTTAATCCTGTAATCCACTGAATTGCACATGCATGTGTTGAAGTGATGTGTTTAAAAAGCTTGATTTGTTAGTTAGATAAAAACAATTTGCAGGCAAACAGCAGTCCTGATAAATGTTTCATGCTCTCTGAAACCTAGCTTTGTTTTCAGATGCTGTCAGATAAATGCAGTGCACCTGACAACCTGCAGAACACTACTTTGACCCAAGTGCACCACACGAAGCACTCTCAGGCATACACAGCTCAACTTTCACTCAGCAGCAGAAATCCTCAGATTTTTGAGTACTGTACCTCATCGGTGTTAGCAGCCTAGTGTGTGTGCTGGCCGGCCGCCAGCAGCTGTGTGTGAATCCAAGCTATCCCAGGGTCAGGCTGAGCCACTCTGCTATCCATTGCTGCCTTGTGTTCCTCCCGGTTTCCCTCGCCACCTTTTCCCTCTCCTCCTCTCCTTCAGTGTCTTTGTTTTCTAACCCAGCAGAAACTCTTTAAAATCTTCTGCCCGGTTCTTCTCCTTGTTCTTGTTCACCGTGCCGCCTCCCCCTGGGAAAACAAAAACAGGCTGAAAACAGCCACCACTTGCTGCTGCTCTCACAGCTACTTACAATGCAGATCTCTTCTCTAAGCTCCTCTGCTCTCCCTTCCCTCTCGCTCCCTCCCTCCCTCCCTCTGCTACTGTTGGGGAAGTGCTCTCTCATTTTCTCTCATTCTCCTCCCCCTCTCTCGCCCTTCCTCTAACTCCTAATAGTTATTTAGTGTCTCATTTCAGCACCTGCTTCAAGACAGAAAATGACACAGAGAGGAGGGAGCAGACAGACTCGGAGAGAAAAATGTTGCTCCTTGGTGGGAGTGTGCGCTTTATCAGCGAAAGCATTGTGTGTGTTCATGGACTGGTGAATGAATGTGAGGTGTGCATGTACAACAAGCACTATAATGCAAAAGTGCACATGTGCATGTTAGTCTTTGTGCATGTATATGTATTCGCATAAATGTGTGTGCAGATTCACTGTTTGAAATGCCTTTATGTTTTAGTGCAACTTACACTAACGGCAGTCAGTGAGTTGTTGACAGAAAAAAGCTGCTATGGCATGCTCTCTCATCGCTTGTGGTGATCTCCGATTGCTGCTGTATCAACTATGTTCACTAATCAAACATGAAAATAATGGGGGGGGGGGGGGGGGGGGGGGGGGGGGTTACCTCGGGACACTATGTTACACAGCTGTGTTGTCTAATGATGCCCATTTTTATAAAAAGGACACTAGAAGACTAAAGGGTTCAGAGCAATACTGATCCCAGTAGAGAATTTATAATATATATATATATATTTGTTGTTGTTATAATATATAGTGTAAAATAAAATTGTATTTTTCGGAAACTTAAATAATTAACATGGGACAGGTTATGCTATACAAAGAAATACAATTTTCTGTTTCATATTTGTATTTTGTTCCTCTACTGTGACATGTTTCCATGCTTTAATGTTCAAAAAGCTCTTTATTTGTCTCATACTGCCTGTGCTGCAGCACCTCTTTTCACCCTCTGTCCGAAACCAGAGCCCAGTCTGCTCTGATTGGTTAGCTGACTGGCTCTGTTGTGTTTGGTCAACTGCTTAGAGATGTCCCGTCCCTTAGCCTATCACGTACAATGTGTTGGAGCGATAGCCAATAGAAGCGCAGGTATTACGTAGTGATGTCACTAGGTGTTTCAGGAGGTGGAATGTGTGGGACAGAAATTCCCTCTGGAGGGAACTTTAGGATTTGTAGCCTTTGCAGACCATTTACACGCACAAAAACCTATAGAACACACTACAGGAGAGTGTTTTCCCCTTTGAGTCGCCAGTAAGCCTTAAAGCAACACATATTTTTATTTCAACAATGTCAACAGTATCGAATGATTGTGTTCAATGATATCCGTCACTTTGATTGTAGTCCCGGCTATGTGCTATTTAAGCCATTTCTCTTGGTTGTCTGTCATTTTTTACTTGGTCAGCAGTTTTCAACAGAAAAGCTCAAAATTGGCGAATGTTTTCATAGACCTCCGCATACTTTATTTAGTGACATTATGTCGGTGTCGTGTGTTATGTTTCTGCATGGGTTTTTTGGTTGTTGTGTTTTTTCCTGTTGTTTGCTCTTTTTACCCCTCACTACTCTGTCTCTCCTTCTCTGCAGGGCTGGTGTGTGACAGGGGGGCGTGGCTGGTATTCTCCTGGCTGCAGATGAGGCACACCTGTTCCCACTGACCTAATTAACCCTCTCTTTAAGAGCCTGGCCCTCACCTCACTACTCTGCCAGAGAATTAAATGCTGTTCGACGATCCAGAGTGACTCTCTGCAGCCCAAGCCTAGTTTTGTTCACATTGCAGTTTTTGAGCAACTTTTTGAGTTTTTGCCTGGGACGTTTTCCCTCTGCTTTGTTTTGGACTTTTCTGCAACCAGCCAGCTCCCTGTCTGCCTTAGCCTAGCTTTCTTTTTTAAAACACCTTGAAACTTAACTTGTGTCAGTCTCTGCTTTGGGGTCCTAAGTAGTATCTAAACGCCACAGTCGTGTATTTTAACCTTTTTTTGTTCAACTAAAGTCATTGTTTATTTTATTGATTTTTTTTTAATGTGTAAGTATTAATATATATATATATATATATATATATATATTTTTTTTTTTTTTTTTTTTTTGTTACTGAGTTTTGATGTATTGTGTGATTGCAGCTTGCGTAGCTTGTTGCCCAAGCTGAAAATGCCCCTTGCTGACAAAGTATTTTCATCCTGGTATCATACTGTTTTGTTGGCTGTTGTTTTGTTGCTAATGTTTATTTCCTTAAATCTGCAGATGGATTGTTATCTTTAAACATTATTGATTATCAGCATTTAGTGGAATTTAATCCAGATACAATTCTGATAAAATCCTTACATTTCATTACAATGAATTGCATTGCCTATGTTTGAGTCTTCTATGTGACTGCATATATTCTACACATTGTGATGTACATGATTTTGTAACATATCAGTTAGCTCTACAGAATATCTTAACATCTCAAAAAATGATCAATTTTTCATCAGAAATATAGACAAAATGATTTTAAGAACTAGTTTTTGTGCATTTTTCTGGCCGTATTGAAGTGTGTCGTTTGCTGCATCATTACCTTGTGGCTGATCTGGAGCCTTGCTCTGCAGCCCCTGCATACAAGCGTCTTCCTCCTCGCCCCAGCAGCCGGTGTCCACAGTGCATACCTGCGCTCGCTGACAAGTACTAACTCACTCTTCCTGCAAGCCCTGGCAGGGGAACGCACAGCAATCATAACAATCACAAGGTGAGAGAGATGAAAAGGGAGGGAAAGAGAGAGTATGTATTAAAGAAAATTTCATTTTTTGATTTATGTAAAAAAAAATGATAGAAAGAGGAGAGCATGCAGGATAGGGTGAAGAAAGGGTGAGGAGGAAGAGGAGGGAAGCTAAAATTCAAAGTCAGGAGTTGCCCGAGGCTACAGCTATTGGTGTAGTTAGTGAGGAAGAGAGAAATCATCAGCGAACACCTGTCTGTGTCTGACTCCTAATAAATCAGCGTCCTCTTTACCTGTCTGCAGGTCTCTTTGGATGGCTGTTTTGGAGAAAAAAGAGTCGAGATGGTTCAGCTTTGACATTTAGTTCCTCCCTACAGCAAAGTGAGAACAGCTGACACATCAGCATTCTTTTCAGAATCCCACGCTGAGGAGGCATACAGTATGCATTCATCAAACTACATTTATTTTGGTCTAAAAGGTCCTAAATGCAAAACAGCTCACACAAAATATTTCCTACATCGAGGTACTATTCCACTCCTTTTTACAGTGTGTTACAGTAGCAAATTGTCCCTATGCAACTCTGCAGAACGTTCAAGTAGAAAAAACAAACATGCTCATCTTCCGAAGACAGCAAACATGTACCGTATACGTGTATTTACATTGCATACATTGCATTGCATCATGAAGGTCTAGATATTTGCATGAGTTCTTCATCACATCGAAGACAACAGATAATGTTTGTTAATAACAGTTTACAATCAGTCTAAAAAAAACTGGGAAAAAGGTTTGTTTTTTGCTCTCTTACAGTATTTAAGAGATAAAAGGTAGTTTGCACATAACAAAACAACCAAAATGAACTTAAAGGGGCACCCCTGAATTTCAACATTTAATCAGACTTTGTCAAGTCTGAGGAAATAACGTTGATTTCATTGGGTTTGAGATTTTATTTTTAAATCAATCTGTAAATATTTGTTTTTTTATAATATCCTCAATTATGAGTATTTTTGATACTACAGGTTAATATAATGCCAAAAAGGTCAGTTATGCAGTATTATTGCTTAAAAGATCATGATAATTTTTACGAGAGTTTCTATGCAGCCAGCGTTTTTTGAAGTTTGATCCCCACCAGGACTCTGTCAGTCTTTGCTTCATTGCACCAACTTCACTTAAGTCACAGGAGTGCCCCTTTAAAATAAACTTAACAGCAGGCTGAGCAGCAGTGTTTAACTGGTCTCTATTGTTTACCTTTGACTACTCTTGAATTTCATAAAAAAACATAGAACATCCATGTATTATTATTGGCTCTACACTTGTGACACACATTGCTGCATGTAGGTGTTAGTGATTTTTTTAACTGGACCCAAGACAACTTCATATAGCATCAACAATTCATGCTGCAACTTTGGTTAGCCACTAAAAACACAACTAATCACAGCACTGGCTGCTTTTCATTTTCATTTCATTTCATTAGACAGTATTTTTTAATTTCTGTCATGACAAAAAACAGAGATGGGTGAAGGATTCAGCAAATTGGGGGCAGGGAATCATCAAACTAAATAACACTTTTTTTGTTCCATTCTCATAGGGTCTACTCAGGCTAGGGCCCAGTCACTGTAGGGTCATAACCTAGTATGTATAGGTATGTCATTTTTTGTATACACCTAGTATGAATACAAGTCTTACAATTTTAGTGGGTTGACCTGAAAACGTACTTTAGGGTTAGTTCAGCCTCCGTTACACACCAGCTAATCATCATTTCTGTGCAACGGTAAACACATTGGTGAAGAAAAAAGAAAAAGAAAAATTCCAGTGCAGAGACAGTATTCCACTCAGGGAAAAAGTTCACTCTTGTTATCCCAGATGGGAACAAGTGTCTTCAATTACTCCAACATCCCCTCCAACCACTGGTTTCCCACATCGTAGACCTAACTCATGTTTCCAAAGGACGCGTCGCTTCCTTCAGGGGTGCAGTGCAGTACAGTTTGTTTTGGACAGGAAAGAAACGGGGAAGGAGCAGAGAGACGGAAGAGAGAAATTAGTTCTGTCTGATAGACTTATACAAAAAAGCAGAATCGTTGCAACATGCTACTAAATCACAGCGGGCTGCTACTTATTTAATATTGAGGGACTGGGCAATAAGTCATATCGTTTAAATTAGTTTAGTTTTAAACTAATTGGTAAATATGGTTATTTATTTTCTGTCTGAGAATGACACAATAATATTTATTTCAATCTCATGTCTGTGTTAAGTATGGAGTTCGAGTCTGGAGGCAATTAGCTTAGCATAGCATAACTGCTAGCTTAGCTCAGTGTAATGTTAAAAATGCACCTGTAAAGCAAACTAATTAAGATATGGTATCTTAAATAACATATTCTCAAACGTAAACAAGACTATTTGTGGTTTTAGGGGACTTGTGTTAGAGTTGCTAGGTTTGCTAGCATTGTACCTTTACATTTATGTAGCCAGAGATGAAAGGAAAACAGATACTGGGCAGATGGAGCCAGGCTAGCTTCCTCCAGTCTTTTTGGTAAGCTAGCTATCTTAACATGTCCAGCGTTACCTTCATATTTAACACACAGACATGACAAACCTTACCGTTACTGTAGTATATTAAGCGTAAGGCTGGGTGAATGAGTGGTATTAGCTGTACCAAATAGATTGAAGCAAAATAAACAATGTTTTATCTGACAAAATATAATGATTTGATCTACATTTTTGGCATTTAGACTTTCAATAATGTTCAATCTGGTCACTGTTTCTTTTTTAGGGTTACAAATAATCAAATAATGACACATTCTCAGTTTCAGTCAGTACATCGATACAAGCCAAGTTCAAGTGTAGGATAAGAAGACATGCGGTCAAGCCATAATGATAACAAAATAATACTTATAATATTATAAATAAATTGCAAAGTTTTGGAAGTTTTGTGTGATTAAATAGTTGAACATTACACTAAATGTACTTTTTACGTATTACATTTATTTTTCAATATTTAAAAATACAGTATACATTAATATTGTGTTATTGATTTCAACTTTGTCATTCAGCCCTAGTCGAGGGGTTACGTTCTGTGATTATCTGATCTGGAGGAGGGGGTATTTAGAAGGTAGAGATTAAACTTGTACATTCGCATAAAAACTTGAACATTCTCTGACATTACAAAGTCATACATTCGTGAAGAAACTCAGAAATGATCTGAGATTAAAGAACATATAAAAAATAAATGATTTAGGTTTTTATGAATTACTCAACTTAACGTGTTAAAAACTTTTATCCATCTTAATTTGATACATTCCACTGTAATTATTTAAATAATGTCATTGTTCTTCAGAATTCCATTTACTTACGTGTATAATAATACTCACCTTCTCATCCAGCGACATTCACTACATGAGGCACATGACAACAGCATGGGTCAGAGCACAGGGACACACACACACACACACACACACACACACAGACGAGGATGACAATACAATCTGTGTATGTGACTGTATTCTTAACGGACAAAAAGTCAATGTAAAGGCTGTGTTCCTCGTGTGGAAAATGTGGAAACGTATTACTGTTCACTTCCTGCTGTTTTGAGGTTAAACATTAACAGCAGTGTTAAAAGAGGATATTGTAAACAATGCCAACAGCCCTTGAGAGGTCTTTGGAAGTAATTAAATTCATCTGACATTATTTGGCTCTGGTCCCGCAGAAATTACCATTGATTATCATGTTGCGTGCAGTGTTGCAAGTTTATGACAGTAAGTCAAGCCGCGGGTGCTTTGTAAATGCTCCTTTGAGTTGGGTGTGTGTGCGAGTGGTTGAGCTTTTAAAAAGTCTTTAAAATCTGGAATTTATTTATGAGAACATAAGAAAAAAGGGCCAGGTTTGACACTCTATCACCTGGGTGAGACTGAATGAGACAACAACGAACTGCGTGACATCAAACATGTATATTGTGATTGTGAACAAGCTAATACGGAACTAAGTGAGTGTTACTATAAACAGAAACAGCACAAGGAAGTGTGTATTATTAACAATAACAAGGACATTATTTGTGTTTATTCAGAATAAATTATAAAAGTTAGGAAAACCTTGATATATGTGTTTGATATATTACTTTTACTACTATTATCTCTGCATATAATTGAACTTAAACACTCGAATTCTCTTATATATGAAGTACACCCTCATCAAAACATTTGAGGATTAGCTTTCTCTTGGCTTAAATATTCAAATACAGAGCAAGAGACTCTTGCTGTATGAATGAGAATGTGCTGCATTGTGTGTGTGTGTGTGTGTGTGTGTGTGTGTGTGTGTGTGTGTGTGTGTGTGTGTGTGTGTGTGTGTGTGTGTGTGTGTGTGTGTGTGTGTGTGTGTGTGTGTGTGTCCCATGTTCTACTGACCTGGGCTGGAGCTGCCTGGAGAGGCGGGGGCGGCCCCTCGGCCTCGACTCACCAGCAGAGCCTCCTGATTTTCGGCCAGAGCCTGCTTGGCCAGGTAGCGCTCTCTCTTGATCTTCAGCTCAAGGGATCCCGGGACATCAGGAACGATCCAGTCGATGGCGCGCAGCACGAAGAATACCACGTGCTGGAGGAGGGAGGACGTGCAGACAGTGAGATGTTAAAGGATCATTATCAGAGTAAAATGAAAACAGCCTGTCCTGTTAGAAAATCTGAAGATAGAACTTACTTATAAATAAAATGAAAACAGTATGTTCTCCTCTCTCCTCACAACTGCTTCCTTCGTCCTGGCCTGACATGACGTCCAATTACTTTTTTAACAAATTGTCATCATTCCATGGTATTTTTAAACTTTACCCTCGGTTTTTCACTTGCTTTTAGTTCAATCAGAGGCTTGTCCATAGCTTGTGTAAAGTCCTCTTTTTAAAGGGGCCTTATTATGTTATTTAGGGTTCTCCCTTTCCTGAACTGTGTGATATAGGTTTTTGTGCATGTAAATTGTCTGCAAAAGCTAAAATGTGCGCCAGAGGGAGTTTCTCTCTCCCACACACTCCCCCTGCCTGAAAGGCCTCCATAGGACTCCTTTGTTTACGTCCGTAACATAGTGACTAACTACGTAACACTCGCGCTTCTATTGGCTGGTGCTCCAACACATTGTACGTGATAGGCTAAGGGGAGGGACATCTCTAAGAGGTTGGCCAATCACAACAGAGCTTGCCAGCTAACCAATCAGAGCAGACTGGGTTCTGGTTTCAGACAGAGGGTGAAAAGAGGTGCTGCAGCACAGGCAGTATGAGAAGAATAAAGCACTTTGTGAACATTAAAGCATGAAAACATGTCACAGTAGAGGCACAGCATACAAACATCAGCCTAAAAATGACCATAATAGAGATCTTTTAATTAATTTCTCTTGCCTGCTGGTTTTATTATATTTCTCTGAACATTCTCTTTTAACCCTGTACTATTGCTTTGTTGTATTACATTATGCATGATTAAGTCTCTGTCAATTAGAGACTACTACAAAATAAGTTACCATGGCTATGCGGATGACACCCACATTTACATAACCATTTCACCAGGAGATTATGCTCCAATTCAAACACTGAGTGAGTGCATTGAACAAATCAATGACTGGATGTGTCAGAACTTTCTCCAATTAAACAACGATAAAACTGAGGTAATGGTTTTTGGAGCCAAGGCAGAACGTATAAAAGTTAGCGCTGAGCTTCAGTCTGCAATGTTCAAAACAAAAGATAAAGCTCACTAAAAAATCCATTAGAAAGCTGCAGCTGATTCAGAATGCTGCTGCTCGAGTCCTCACTAACACTAAGAAAGTCGATCACATCACTCCAGTTCTGAAGTCTTTACACTGGCTTCCTGTGTGCCAAAGAATTGATTTCAAAATACTGCTGCTGGTTTATAAAGCTTTGAATGGTTTAGGCCCAAAATACATGTCTGACCTCCTGCTAAATTATGAACCATCCAGAACTCTCAGGTCTTCAGGGACTGGTCAGCTTTCTGTCCCCAGAGTCAGAACTAAACATGGAGAAGCAGCGTTCAGTTATTATGCTCCAAATATCTGGAACAAACTCCCAGAAACCTGCCGGTCTGCTGCAACTCTGACTACTTTTAAATCCAGGCTGAAGACTTTTCTTTTTGCCGCTGCTTTTAATTGATATATTCATATCTTAAACTGCACTGTAACTTTTATTATCTTTGCTTTTAAATGAGTGTTTTTAAATGTATAATATGTTTCTTAATGCTCTTAATGTCTTTCATTTTTGTAAAGCACTTTGAATTGCCTTGTGTTGAAAGGTGCTATATAAATAAACTTGCCTTGCCTTGCCTATAGTCCAAACCTGCTCAATATGAAAAGTGATAGCCCTAAACCTGTATTGAGGCAGGTTCTAACCTCACAGCCTCAACTGTAGAGCGCTTTGGTTCAACTCCTGTTCCTTTTAAATGTGCCAAAATAAACTGACTTGACTTTACCTGTCAAGAATGCACCTCTGAAATTCCAGTTTTTTTGCAAAACCCCATGACAGCCAAAAATGAAATATTACTCCTATTTCCCTCCTTAGTAATTACTTTGTCTATTCCCAGTACTTTTATCTGGCCACAGACGGAAGAGCAAAGTCATAAAACATATCCTATGTAAGAGTCACTTTAGCACATATTTATTTAAGAAAATTATTATGTTGGCGTGACAGATTATAGTTCTTGAATACAACTTAAATACATTTCCGACAGTTGTGTATATATTGATGGTGGACTATGCTAAGGTTATTTTTCTTTTTGCTATTCTTATGTTATCTAGTGATTTATTTTATTATTTACAAAAGGTGAAAACAAGCAATGTACTGATCCTTACAACATGCCATTATATCCTGATCCTCTGTGCAAAAGTGCTCCACTGTCTTCCAAAAACGATTACAAACACATGAGCAACACGTAATGAGCCACACTGTAGTACAGGGTGACGTTTTCCCTCATTACTTTAAGCTCCGCCATTATGGTCAATTACACATTCACCGTCCTGCTGCCGCAAACAGTCACTATGCACCAAATGTGAATAGATCTGACTCCTGAGCAATTCTGCATAAAACTACAGTGCCCAGTAGTTTTAGAGAATTGCTGACTCTTTTAAGGAATGCCAGGAACGCATATGTTAATAACAACAATGAGGAACAGAAGGAGGAATTGCTAAACAATCAGTTTGTTTGGAATAGTGGCCAAAATGAATGCAACTGAATAATATTAAAGAGGCCCTATTAAGCTTTTTGGGGTTTCCTTTTTCTCTAGTGTGTTATATAGGTTTATGTGCATGTAAATGGTCTGCAAAGGCAAACATCCCTGTGTTCCCTCCAGAGGGAGTTTCTCTCCCACACGCTCTCCCCCCCCTGCCTGAAATGCCTCTATTGGACTCCTTTGTTTACTTCTGTAACATATCACAATGTAACACCCCACTTCTATTAGCTAATGCTACAACACATTGTACATGATAGGGGCGGGACATCTCTGAATGGTTGACCACTCACAACAGAGCTGGCCAGCTAACCAATCAGAGAAGACTGGGCTTTTTGAACTTGGAGCTGTAGTCATGGTTACATGTCCCTGAGGCTCAAACCTTCAAAAGCAGGTGGTTCGAGTTTGACTTTGAAATGGCATCTTCTTAGTAATGTATTCTTCCTCTGTTGCAACACAAATCGCCTCAAAACTCTGTGTACGTGTCAAAGAAATCAAAGAGGTTTAACACAAGTCATGTGCTGGACTCTTAATTAAAGAGGCCCTATTCTATATAGGTTTTTGTGCATTTAAAATCCCAAAGTTCCCTCCAGAGGGAGTTTCTCTGCATCTCTAACTGGTTGACCAATCACAACAGAGCCAGCCAGCTAACCAATCAGAGCAGACTGGGCTCTGGTTTCAGACAGAGGGTGAAAAGACAGGCAGTATGAGAAAAATTAAGACCTTTTTGAACATTAAAACCTGTAAACATGTCACAGTAGAGGCTCAAAATACAAATATGAACCTAAAAATTAGCATTATAGGGCGTCTTTAAAAAAAGGAAGGGGTCTTTGTATTTGAGAAAAGTTATTGAAGGAGACAGTAACGACAGAAAAAGTGTGGAACTAGTAAAACAAGGACAAGTCATCTGCAAAATAACATATGGAATACTGATATGGGTAAACAGTACATAAAACAGAAACACTAAAACAAACACTGAAAGAGGGCTACGTTGCCAGTATGCACCTGGAACAGAGGCACAAGTTTGTATAGAGATGTGGGTGAAAGATAAAAATGAACAAAAGGTGGGCCGTAAATCACTGGAACAGCCAGAAGGAAAACAAATAGAGAGAAAGGCAACTCCTTTCATACCTCAAAAGCAATGATAAAGCCAAGTCTGACAGCAAGGAGCTCCCAGTAGAACAGTGAGTAGTTTCCATCGTTGTCTCTGTACGCTTTATATCTAAAGTTGGGAGAAAAAATACATTACAAAAGAATATAATGTGTAATCAGGGTGTGCGTGTATGCAGCAGCACATGACAACAAAGTAAACAATGTGTGAAACATCAGTAATGCTACCCTCTGTTGGTCAAGTCTGTGATCAGACATTTTGACAAGTTTGACATTTTGAAACCTTTCAAGGATTTTAGCAAAAAGGACAAAACAAAACATACTTGAGAAGCAAGATATGTAATTTCCAACCAAACAGATTTTTGCCACACTTGAAGAATAGGTCCAAACATTGTATTTGTCATGTGAACAATAGCTATAGCAAGTCGTGGCAACACAAATCATTAATGCCCCAGGATCCTCCACAAATATATAATATAAAAAAAGATTAAAAATAACGTAAAATGTACGAAAGAAAAACTACAGTCTATCAGTAAGTTGTGGCACATTCAGATAAGCATACAGTGTACCTGCACATTGGGTACTCTGTGTAGTTAAGTGGGGCGTAAGCCAAGGTGAAGTTGACATATCCGTTGAGATCATTATCAAACTTGAACTGGTACAGCAGCCGAGGTAAAAAATCTGATGTGAAGGCTATCAGGAAGGCCTGCAGACAACAGAGAAGAAGAATAAAGAACATGTCTGAGAGGAGTGATCAGCCTGCAGTCTGGTGCTAAGGTCATTTTTAATGGACTCACGTTGGCAATGACGGACAGGTGTGACAGGGCTTCAAGGATGTTGAACCACACTCCGATGTTCTGGGCGCGCTCAGCCACTGGTCGGCGGTACTCGCATGCAAACTTGTGTGCGTCCAGACGGATCTCCACCCAGTTGTTGAGGAGGGCGAAGAGCGGGGCGAGGGGGAATGCTGCCACGAAGATGGTGATGAACCCAAACTGGAGCACTGCAGGGAGAACAATGAGGCACTTTATTATTTCTGCAATGAAATACAGCAGAACAAATATCCTATTTTCTATATTCATATTAGACAGTTGAATGGCAGTGACATCCTGTATATAAGAAACAGAACAGGGTTCTTGCCCATGTCCTTAGTCTCAATACAAACGGTATTGTATACGAGCTATAACTTTGCTCCCAGATTGTTTTGGGCTTTGCTTTTCGAGAAAGTATTTGATGAAAAATGTGCCTAGCTGGCAAAAATGTTTTGTTTTTAGTAATAAAGTTAGAGTATCCTTTTCCTATAGAGCTTTATAATTAAATATGTCCTGCAATAAAACATATTTAACTATCATTTGTTTTATAACTGTTTGTATACCAGAATATTTTGGGTGGATTTTCCACGTTATTAAAGAAGGAAAACTGGACAAACATTACTATTTCAGGATAAAGATATTTGAATATGTTTTAAAAGTAATGAGAAAGAAAACTTTTTTTTCATCATAAACTGAATCAATATGGCACCGCAAAAAAGAAACCTTAAGAAATAGAAGGCTTATTATTACTTTTCCAGATATTTTAGATTTCTTTTTAATCCTTGTTTTAACTTTGTTTATTTATGCTCCAGGAAAAAATGAAAGAGATAGAATACTTGCCCATCTCCAGGTACTCTTCGAACAGGCCTTCACACTCCACCAGCTGGTAGTCTTCCTCCCAGCGCTGAGGCTCATGGGATGCCTTGTCCCCCATCACCTTGGCCAAAGATCTCTTCTGGTTCCAGGCCTTCACCTTACTGTCAGAGCAGAGACACAGAGCTTTACAATATGACACTTACACTGCATTTCCTATAGTTCCCTTTTTTTTGTCCCTAGTTTTGTCATTATATTCACCCTGAATACAAACTATAATTCATATTACACGGAGAACAGTTCTCAGTCAGGATGATTTGCTTCGAGCATGGGTTTTCATTTCTTTAAAGTCGGATTCACTTGGAGCTGTAGTCATGGTTACATGTCCCTGAGGCTCAAACCTTCAAAAGCAGGTGGTTCGAGTTTGACTTTGAAATGGCATCTTCTTAGTAATGTATTCTTCCTCTGTTGCAACACAAATCGCCTCAAAACTCTGTGTACGTGTCAAAGAAATCAAAGAGGTTTAACAAAAGTCATGTGCTGGACTCTTAAAGAGGCCCTATTCTATATAGGTTTTTGTGCATGTAAAATCCCAAAGTTCCCTCCAGAGGGAGTTTCTCTGCATCTCTAACTGGTTGACCAATCACAACAGAGCCAGCCAGCTAACCAATCAGAGCAGACTGGGCTCTGGTTTCAGACAGAGGGTGAAAAGAGGTGCTGCAGCACAGGCAGTATGAGAAGAATAAAGAACTTTTTGAACATTAAAGCATGGAGACATGTCACACTAGAGGCACAAAATACAAATATAATAAAAAATATATAAAACCTAAACATTTTGCAAAATAGTGCCCCGTTAAGAAAATCCAACTCAGTAGAACAGAAATGAATGACATCAAAGTGCTACTGGAACAGCTTGTGTGCTATCAATAGGATAAACCTTGTGGGGCACATCCTTCGAAGGATTCAGGCTCTGAACTTGGACGCAGCTACAGTATCGATCACAGAAACCACAAACCACCCTGACAAGCAGAACAAGCCCTGGCTGCCAGCGCGCACACTCTCAGCTCCAATCGATCACTTCATCAATCTTACAGCAGCCGCACTGTATCAGGGGTATCAGCGTAGATAGATTCATGATAGAAATGTGTGGCCTTTATTTCACCCTGCCAGCTTGAACAAGTAGCGTACACAATTATTTGCCAGAAAATGATGGACTATGGCACCTTGCAAGAAAGAAGGTCAAGAAAAAAGTGGATGGAAAGAAAAAGCAACACAAGAAGAAGGAACTCTCCATTTGTAAATGTATGGGTTTTCTTCCCAATTGATTGCAATAATCTTTTTTACTAAGCATTATAGTTCTCTTGTTGGAAGCCCTCTACAAACTGAATGTATTTCTGAAATAAGGGGAACACTTAATGATTTCTTTAAAGGCTACCTACTATTCCTTTTTGTTTACCAAAATCCTCTGATTCTCCCCTGTGTCTGTAGACATACACCCACCCACACACACTGTGCCAATGCTGCAGTGGAACAGAAATGAGCTTTACTGCACCAAACAACAGGGAGCTGAGCAGTCTGTTGCAACAGCAACACAAAAAAACTATGGCGATGTCTTATATCACATTTCTGTATAATGCTCATTATTTTTTTTTTCTGTTATATTGAGCTGGATTTCCTTTTTTTTTTTTTTTTAAATCCCTCACTTATGATTAAGCAGAAGTGTATGGCGATGTCTGCAGAGACTCTGCAGCCCTCTGCCTGTGTGTTCTCTTTTTAGTGGCCAGGTGCCATCCCAGCTAGCGGGGAACGTTCTCACAACTTTGGCTAACATTACCTATTGGTTCCAGTGGCGAGCCGTGAGCTTTATACCTAGGCCCTCTGACCCCCACCCCTTCCCTCGAAAAAAAAAAAAAAAAAATAGTTATTACGTCACAGCGTATACTTCAGCGGAATATCAAAACAACGGCCCAGGGTGCAAAACGCATCAATGACAGCGACCCTCTACCAGACAAAACAACACCTGTGAACCCAATTTGTGTTCTTTGACATTGAAAATGATATTGCATTGTGTTTGTTACTTTCGTTGCAGTTGTATGTCTTAAGTGTAATTTGGCATGCTTTTATTTTGAAGGTGAGTTCACGCTGTTGACAGGAAGTTGTTGTTGCTATGGAAACAAGAAAAGTTTCACAGCAGGCGGAACTTGTCATAAAGTCCGCGATAATAAAACCCACCCATTTAGAGGGAAGATATGATTGGTCAATTGTACTGTCATTTGACATTACTCTCTCGTTCAGTTACTATAGCGGGCCCTCTGTGAATCGCAGAGAGGGCCAGACAGCTTCTTTCATGTAATCCTTCACATTCAAACAGAGACTGAACAGGCAGATTCGAAGGATTTATTTCTTTGGAAATGTTATTTTAAATACAATTAAATCAAGTTTTATAACAAAAATAATATTAAAAAAATATATATTTAAAAAAAATATATTTTTTTTTAATGTTTTTAAATATTATTTTTTGGAATATCTTAGGCCCTCACAGAGGGCCTAGAGGGCCCTGACGGCTCGCCACTGATTGGTTCTAATAATGTTTTAAAGAAACGTTTTAATCTGATGTTCAAAGAACCTTTTTAGGATGTTTATTATTTCAAATAATGTTCCTATAAGGTTTAAGGTTAACTAAGACATAACATTTTAACTGCAACATTCAGAGGATGTTTTGAGGATGTTATTGAGGCCTGAGATGACAGAAAGTTTTTTTATAAAACGTTCCTTTAATGTGATATGTTAACAAAGGTGGAATGTTTTGCCTGCAACATTCTAAGGATGTGTTTTGGATGTTGTTGGGGTAACACATTAAAGATGTTCTTTATAAAACGTTCCCTCAATGTTACATGATAACAAATGAAGAACATTCTCCAAGGAACATTCTGAAAATGTTTTCAGGATGTTATTCTTTTTTTATAAAACGTTCCTGTGATGGCAAATATTAACACGGTCATGGTCAGATTTATTTCTAGAGCGCTTTAAAAAACAAACTTGTTGCATTTGTTTGAAAAGGAGGTTTTAAAAAATCTGATGTCACCATATTTTCCTTTTGAAAAAAACAAACAAGCACGTAATTCATGATAAGCTGTAAGCAGATATTGCATGTTTGCGGTGGCATGTGTGAGTTCCCAGCTAGACATTTTTGGTTCTCAAAAAATTCTGAGAATGTTACCATTCATTGTTCAAGGAATGTTTTCAGCGGGACGTTTTATTTTGGTTCCCAGAATGTTCTTCTGAAAGGTAGGATAACGTTCTTTAAAAACATTCTTGAAATGTTTGGTGATAACCTTCTTCAGATGTTTTTTATAACCTTCTTCAGATGTTTTTGATAACATTGTTAGAACATTATGCCCTACTGTTCTTAAAACGTTTTCAGCGGGACGTTTTATTTTGGTTCCCAGAATGTTCTTCTGAAAGGTAGGATAACGTTCTCTAAAAACATTCTTAACATTTTTGGTGATAACTTTCTTAAGATGTATGAGTGCATTGAGACAATGAATAGGACGTATAAAAACGAATTTGCATGCCAGTATTCACTCACATGCACTTATAATCACACTAAGGTATGTAGGCCCACAGTATTCATAATATCATATGTGCTGCTGCAAGACTTCTGATAAATCGGAACGATAAAGCACGTCATCCTACTCTAAAATAATAACATTCTGGCAACATAAAAAAATCTAACTTGCAGCTGAAAACGTTTTAAGAATAGTAGGGCATAATGTTCTAACAATGTTATCAAAAACATTTAAAAAAGGTTATTACCAAGCATTTTAAGAATGTTTTTAGAGAAAGTTATCCTACCTCAAAACGTTCTCCAATTAAACAAAGATAAAACTGAGGTAATGGTTTTTGGAGCCAAGGCAGAACGTATAAAAGTTAGCGTTGAGCTTCAGTCTGCAAAGTTCAAAACAACAGATAGAGCCAGAAATCTAGGTGTAGTCATGGACTCTGACCTGAGTTTCAACAGTCACATTAAAACAGTTACTAAATCAGCCTACTATCACCTAAAGAACATATCTAGGATTAAAAGACTAATGTCACAGCAGGATTTGGAAAAACTTGTCCATGCTTTTATCTTCAGTAGACTGGACTACTGCAATGGTGTCTTTACAGGTCTCACTAAAAAATCTATTAGAAAGCTGCAGCTAATTCAGAACGCCGCTGCTCGAGTCCTCACTAACACTAAGAAAGTGGATCACATCACTCCTGTTCTGAAGTCTTTACACTGGCTTCCTGTGTGTCAAATAATTGATTTCAAAAATATTGCTGCTGGTTTATAAAGCTTTGAATGGTTTAGGCCCAAAATACATGTCTGACCTCCTGCTAAATTATGAACCATCCAGAACTCTCAGGTCTTCAGGGACTGGTCAGCTTTCTGTCCCCAGAGTCAGAACTAAACATGGAGAAGCAGCGTTCAGTTATTATGCTCCAGATATCTGGAACAAACTCCCAGAAACCTGCCGGTCCGCTGCAACTCTTACTACTTTTAAATCCAGGCTGAAGACTTTTCTTTTTGCCGCTGCTTTTAATTGAACTATTCACATCTTAAACTGCACTGTAACTTTTATCCATGTATTTTTTCTTTTAATGTTTATTTTATTATCTTTGCTTTTTAATGACTGTTTTTAAATGCCATTTTCTTAATGTCTTTCATTTTTTGTAAAGCACTTTGAATTGCCTTGTGTTGAAAGGTGCTATATAAATAAACTTGCCTTGCCTTGCCTTACCTTACCTTACCTTACCTTTCAGAAGAACATTCTGGGAACCAAAATAAAACGTCCCGCTGAAAACGTTTTAAGAACAGTAGGGCATAATGTTCGAACAATGTTATCAAAACATCTTAAGAAGGTTATCACCAAACATTTTAAGAATGTTTTTAGAGAACGTTATCCTACCTTTCAGAAGAACATTCTGGGAACCAAAAGAAAACTTCCCGCTTAAAACATTCCTAGAACAGTGAATGGTAACATTCTCAGAATGTTTTTAGAACCAAACATTTCTAGCTGGGATATTGTAAGCATGCATGCCAGACTTTATGTTTACAAACATTAACCGACTCATTGTGCCTTCAAACTTTGAAATGCCTATAATTGTTTGTTTAATCGACAATTTCATTTCACCAAATTGTTCTTCTGTTTGGGTTTTGCAAAGTGAAGCCATTTTGTGAAAAAACATGTGATACCTTGAGATCTGTTGAGTAAAATCAGAAAATGAATGAATGATGTTCGATGCTGGTTTACATACGGGATAATGAACTCCTGAATGTTGTTGATGAGCTGCTTTCCCACCATGATGATGAAGAGTTGCTCAGCCAGCTCAATGAGGCAGCCCCCGGGTCCACACTGCAATAGGAAATACACAGAAACAGAGTTATTGAACTTGATACTTTTACATGCTTAGATGGAAATACAATAGCAGAGATCTAAAACACTCGCTCCTTCTGAAAATTATAAAGACTCACATCTTCATTTCTCATCCCAAACAACGTCCCGTAGTTGGTAGGGTACCCCACAAACCTGCAAAGACAGAGAAGGAGGAAAGGTTCAATCTTATTTGGCACAAAATGCTCTTTACGTCTTACTTTCTTTGTGTGTTGAGACTAACTTGTGTCTCACCTTCCTTTAAAGAAAGCTACATAGAAAGGGGACGAGTAGAAGTTGACAAACTGGAAGATGAACACCTTGAAGATAAAGGCATTGTCGTACTGGGTTTGTGTTCTGTGCATCTCTGGAAAAGAGAAAGCGAGGAAACAAAGTGTTAATGTCAGTAAAATGTAATGTTATACTTGCACTTAACTATGGCATTAACTGTATGGTCATCTACATGCATTTGTTTACAAGTTTAGGAATCTTAGCAACAACTTGGTGAAGGTAATGATACAGTATATTATCTGATGGAAACAATAGAACTACTGTCGCAAATAAGTGGTATAATAATATTTGTAGTTAATTTCATGTACCTATTTTTCTTTTAAAGGGGACCTATCATGCAAAATGCACGTTTTGATGTCTTTTATACATAAATATGTGTCCCCGGTGTGTCAGGGAACTCACAAAGTGCCAGAAAATAAAACCCTCTCTCTTTTCCTCCATGCACAAATCTCTAACAACGGAGTTGATCCAGATTTGCGATCCGATATGACGTAAATTACGTCATATCGGATGGCGGACCCACGGCACTATCAGAAACGTCACTGTATCAGAAACAATTCCCGACGTGTTTTGGACGTAATAGTCTTTGTTTACATTAGCAAGCATCGCTAACACTCGCTGTACTGTGTACTGAACATGTGTGTGAAGAAGCAGGATATAAAAAGGAACTCACCTAGTGATAAACCCGCAAGAGAGAAAGCCTTTGAGCTCCATACTGTTTCAGAAATAATCCTTAATCTAATAATCACTGCAGCATTTTAGACAGTATCTGCCAGGTCCCGCATGAGCCGGCATAAGCCCCGCCCCCCTCTTATTTTTATTTTTTTCAGTTAAAAAAGAAAAAAAGCTTTATACCCAGAATCAGCACTTTTGAAACAGGAAGTGAAATAGAGGGATATGAGGCATGGCTAGAATGGGTGATCTGTTTGGTCTTTTGACCAAAACACTTAATAGACATGTTTTTTATATATTTTTTATATATCTGAGACCTATGCTATTGCCTAAAAATAGCATGATAGTGACCTTTAACTCAGTGGATATTTTTTTGCCAATCTAGTGCAGTGGCTCTTTTGGACAACCTCTTTGGGTCAAAGATCTAACATTTATGTTCCTCACAAGATAATGTTTGTAATTACAATTCGCGACATTTTGTATTGTCCTATCATAAGTCAACATTTCAATTTGTAATGTTCTTTGGTTTGGTTTGAAGTACCCACTTTCATTCATTCCTGAGTTTGATAGTGCTGTTTTGCATGTCATACAGGGTTTGCATGCTAACAAGTTAAACAATGGTTCTGACAGTGGTCAACTATTTACTTGGTTGTGCTTAGCTGTTAGCCAACTAGCTAAAGTAAAAGTAGCAGCTAAGACATGAAAAATCATCACCATCTATTGAAGATACATGTAATGTTACATATTCTATATATTGAGGCTATATATATATATATAGTCTCAACTAGCCCAGAAAGCCATAACTTTAACGGGTTGTAAAGAATAATTTAGCTGCTGTTCATAAGTCTTTATGAGTAAGAGGATACAAATAGTTTGCTGTTTCTAGAGCCTAAAATGGAAATGTTATTACTGGTTTCTTCTTAAACCTACTAGCATAGTTCTTATAACTATACCTTTATTTGTCCATCTATGGTTCAGCACTGCATCATATGCAACCATATGATGCCGTAACTAAACAAGACACCTAATAATGTCAGAAAAAGAGACACTGTGTTTTACAGTTGCTGAGTGCTCTGTGTTACAGTTGCACACTCCCACTCAGCAAAGTCGTCGCCCACAATAAAAGATTATTCTTACCCTGGAAGCTGGAATCAAATTAAAGACATCATCTCGTCTTTAAGGAGTCTCATCGTTTAGTTAGTGGAGATCCAGTGAGAGGCTGATATCAATATATAGCATTAAGGCAGTATTGATTCTTACCCCATTTAGTGAGCTGCTCTGCTAATGCAGTGTAGACCCGGCCCATCAGCAGGATGAGGCCCAGACTCACTATACTGCTGCAGATGTTCGCTATGGTTCCTGCCTGAGGAGGAGAGCACACACTTGTATGTTAAGTATGAACACACACATACAAGTTCAGACGGTACAGAGAGTAGAAGGAGCTGATTTACACCTGTAGTGTAATCATGTAGTCGTCATTATACTGTCTATTATTAAAGACAGTTATTTCAACAAATCCCACTCAATTGTCTCTTAAGGCTCCCTTACGGTCGATATTGTTGCAAAAATAAACAAATAGGGATTTGTATTATCTTGTCTCATGTCTAATTTTAGTGGATCAAAAATGAATTAATTTGCAGATCATCTGGTTCACTTGTACAACAAAGGTGGTGAGGGTTGTTTTGAGCCTAGTTGAATGATGCTATAAAACGTTCAATAAAACAGATTTTTTCAGATTGTGAATGACTAGAGACACAAAATGTTCTAGTATGCGATATTAGCTTTGAACAGACAGATGGCAGAGATTATAATGTCCATATACAAACTGTGTATGCTCTCTGCTGCTTTGATGTACCTCTGTACGCAGGACGGGGCTCCCGGTGCGGAACATCATCAAGCTGATGATCCCGCGGCACATGACCACCGTCACCAGGAAGATCATCACCACGCACAGCTGAGAGGGGAGACACAGGAAGGCAGGGTGTAAAACATCACAGTTTGTGGAGAATAAATACTCTTAACATCTCAGAGTAGTAGTAGTAGTAGAAGTAGTTTTTCTTGAGGTTTAGGAGGTGGACTAAATGTATGCAGTTTACCCCACCTTATTTGCTAAATAATAATAATAACCAGCAAAATCCATAGTACTTTCTATAGTTGGTTGAATTTATTTTTCAACTGAATAAAAAAGTCACTTGATTGGAACAACTTTTTTCTCAGTCACTGCTCTTTGTTTGCTTCCCAGGTACCGGTAAGTGATCGTAGATACTGTTCTATTCAGTCTGCCTTGTGCCATTTTCAATTGTCCAGCTCCGTCATCTTTGTCAGGAGAAACTGATCATAACGTATTGTCCCAGGAACAAGTAAATCCTGAGACTGAGCATAAAGTGTACAGGTGAGATTATCAGATCAGACCCAGCCCTGTGGGCCAATGACCTGGTTTCATTATTAGAGAGAGGTTCAGTTTCCACTGTTAACTTTCAGGATTCACTGGAATAATACACAGAACCCCACCTCTCTTTCTCTTCAGGATCAAAACATTAAAAGCTCACATAGAGCAGAGCTCTACTGACCTCTTTACTGAAACTAAGAATAATTACAATGTTTGCAAGATTAGGAAAATGAAAATATGTTGATATCATATGTGATTATATCCATAGAAAACAAGCAGTGTAATTAAAAAGGAAATATTATGCTAATGTCCATGTTCATATTTGTATTTTGTGCCTCTACTGTGACGTGTCTCCATGCTTTAATGTTCAAAAAAGCTATTTATTTTTCTCATACTGCCTGTGCTGCAGCACCTCTTTTCACCCTCTGTCTGAAACCAGAGCCCAGTCTGCTCTGATTGGTTAGCTGACGGCTCTGTTGTGATTGGTAAACCGCTTAGAGAAGTGCCGCCACTTAGCCTGTCACGTACAATGTGTTGGAGCGCTCCCCAATAGAAGCGCAAGTGTTACATGGTGATGTCACTATGTTAGAGAGAGGGGAACTTTGGGATTTTAGCTTTTGATCACTTACATGCACAAAAACCTATATAACACACTATCGGAAAGAAAAAAGAAAATAAGCATAATAGGGACCCGTTAATCAAAGAACCTTCACTGTATTCTTCAGTGAGTTACATTGAGCAGCCAATCTGAGATGTATGCATTTTCAACTGATACCAGCAAACAAATACAATAAATATATATATAATATAATGTAACTGCAAATGCTGCTAAAATAAACAGTGTCTCACCATCATGATGATCACCATGGAGCCGGTGAACACACGGGCGAGTCTGGTCTTCTCTGGGAAGTACGGCTCTTTCACTCCGGTCACTGGGTTTGGCTCCATCGTCGGGGCCATGGCTGCAAACTCTGGACGAGGACGCTCCTGAGGGACACAGTGATGACATCAGCAACAATGGACACACTCTTTGCTGGCCAATTCAGAAACTATGGCCCAATCCCAAACCGCCCCCTACACCCTACCCCTACACACTACCCCTACACACTACCCCTACACACTACCCCTACACACTACCCCTACACACTACCCCTACACACTACCCCTACACACTACCCCTCCGTTTGCGCGTTCGCGCGGAGGGTCCGCCACATTAAGTGCTGTTCCAAACCAACGAGTGTGGAGAGGTGTGGAGGGGGAGTGGGCTATCAAGCCCTCAAACAGCGAGTCTGCATCGGTGCTGACTTGAGACCGGTCTCTACCTGACCGGAGTCACGCTGTGTGTGTCCGTCAGGAAACACGCTGTTTACAAACAGTTCCTGCAAACATCCACTGATAAACTGCGATGTTAACAACCTCATGATAACCTCATATTTTTTTAACTTAGGATCGTATACCTGTGTTTAGTCTAGAAAAAGGTAAATGTGTGCATTTTATTATAAAGTTGTGTATATTTACAGACTGTTGCAAAAACTAAGAAGCTTATAAACATCAGGTTTAAAACTAAAAGAGCTTTACAAAAAAGTAACACAATTAAAGATGTTTGGAGTTTTATTTTAGTTATTAATTGTAATGTTTTGTCTAAGAGATGCTGATTTGAAACCGTTGTTACATACAGTTACGGCATTTCCTGTTTCTGCCGGAGAGAGGGGAGTTTGTCCCAAAGCTTGCCGCTGTATTTACTCCCTCCATCTGACAGGAGGGAGCCTCGTTGAGCTGCGAGTGTGGCTACAGACGGAGTTCACTCCGTCACGGAGGGGTAGGGTCGAGGGAGTGGTTTGGGATTGGGCCTAAATGTTTAATCAAGACCTATCTAAGTGACAATAAGTGTATGAGAACAGTTTGGTCAAGAAAGGAAGGAAGGATTGGGAGACCTCTTCTTCATGGAAGTCCATGCAGTCCCAGTGATGGGCCAGGGTGGCCATCTTTCTCTTCCAGTACTCCAGGAAGGTTACAGCCCAGAAGGACATGAAGACACTGAAGAGGACGGTTCCTGGGTGGTCAAACAGGTAGCCCAACTGCAATGCAGAATAACATCATCAATTTTGCATTATGGTTACAAAATAAATAAAACTGGTTTAGTGAAAATGTTTTTTATTACCTTGGCCATGGTGCAGATATCAGACATGTTCCAGGCCTTGCATGTGTTACACAGAGGACACATGAGATAACTCGCTCCGCTGGTACAGATGTCCTTACTGTTGACAGACACATACATATGGATTAGTTACTAATGAGCAAACACATTTTAAAGCTTTCAAACTAGCCTTTCATATTTTGATGTATCAGGTGCCCAAGCACATTTGGCAGAAACTATAGTTATCATTGTCACAGATAAGGTGAATGAACTGTAGTGTATTTTGCATTCACATAAAGCCAGGGAATATTTATTGAGTGAGAAAATAGAACAGATGGAAGGTGTTAAAAACATTCACAAGCTACCGCACCTTCACTGCAGTTAATTAGTGACTCACTGCAACTATGATGCTGCAGGAATAAATGTTGGACCCACTGAGAGACGTCTATCTTCCATATTTATGTAATGGGAGGATTATTCTGCACTAATTGTCCATTATCAAATGAGATGGCGGCAGTTTGTTGCAGCTGCCTCGAGCTCTCCATCCGTTCTCCACAAATCAATGGCTTTAATCTAAAGTGTGAACTAATGAACATCATGAATCTGAGACGTTGGGTCGTTTCCTTTCCTGAGATATTGACTTGTCTTCCGTTTACTCTAACCTCCCTTGTTTCTTTATAGCAGGATGGATTTTCTGTCACTAAAACCAACAGAGAGGGAATGGTAAACACAACACAATTGTTTAGGCAATATTAGGGTACAACACTCGAAGAAAAGGAGTGACTATAATTATTTGTAGGGAGAGTAGAGCTTTCTGTGCTGTTAAATACAAATAATAAATTGGGCCAAACAAACCTCATGTGGTTTGAACAACTATGGAGTTTGTTTTCATGCAGAACAGACTATGCGTTGATGCTCAGGTTTATTTGGATCTCAAACTGTGCTTGCTTTACATAATGTGGAAATAGGAAAATATAATAGCATAGGTACAATTTTACAGTTCTGGTGCATTTTGAGAATGTTAATGCTGTGTTTTCGACATAAGTATGTCATAAGATACCCCACTTGTAAATGTCTGAAGCTTCAATTCAACATAAAATGGTGGTATAAAAGTGACAATATAAGATTAAAAAGCGTCATCACTCGGAACAAGAGTCAGACTTTAGATGATCAGTGATGCTCAGCCATGCGAGTGTGATTTCGTTTGTTTAAAGCCATCGTAGCTTTTTACTTCTGGCCATTGCATTTACTCTGTAACTAGTATAGAAGGAATGTTAATATGTGGAAATTATACTGCTGGACAAAATGTGTTTGCCTTATTTTCTGCAACGTTCCAAAATCTAATCCAGTCGAAGGAGCCCTAGCGATGCTAACTTTCAATGCTAACCTGTCCAGGCAAGATGGTAACAAATCTGGCAACCTCACTTCACCCAGTAGTTATACGATATGTCAAAAAATGGTTACATCAGGTTAATTCCTCGAAAATCACCCCAAAAAATGTTTATATCAAATAACTGACAATTAAATGTTTGCACAAGAATGACACATTGAATTTCGCTAATTTCCAAGACTCTCTTAAGCCAGTTCTTTCAAAGAGACAGTCAATCTGACCGAGAGTGAGCGGAATGAGACCTCAAACATACGGCCACTGATGTACAATCTGTTGAGTCAACACTTTTATGATGCAACAATTGACATTTTTATTATGTTTATCTGTGTCATTGTAAAACATAACACAAGCTACATTTGTGAATTAATTGATACAGAGACGACAAAAATGTCAGTAACATATCAATATACATCTTATGCAGAATTAAAACCCCTGACTTTACTGAAGTGAGCCATGGTTTGTTTCACTGCTTAGGAAGTCAAATTGTAACATGTAGAGGCAATATTGTGTACGATTTTTCACAAAAATAGCAATACTCTTACTTTAATGAAGTGTCAGAATGCTCAGTTGATCCAGCAGAAACATAATTTCTGATACTAATTCAATACTATCACAATCTCATACTAATTGATTGTACATCAATGACTGTAAAACTGGTGAAATTCCCCTCTAAGATTTGACCGACTTAATACATCAACTAAATCAACATAATGCTACACTCAACAGTCCAGCTTCACATGTATGTAATGCAATGAAACCTGTATTTCCTGTGGGGTGTGTGGACTCACGCTGGTGTGTTGGTACCCATGGACATGACTCCAGACACAAAGACCAGGGTCCCGACCACTGCGGCCGGCAGCAGCCAGGCTGTGTAGAAACCTGCAGAGACATAAAGATCCATTAGGGTGAGGCTCCCAGCTGATGCAGGGATGTGCTGTTTGATGCTGGAATGTCTTTTGATGAAGAGGTCGGAATGGCTTCGCAGAAGAAAACGTCTAATGATGAGGATGATAGTTGTACTATTCCCGCTAATTAGGTCATGTTTTTCGGTTTGTATTGCTTGTTTGTCAGCGGGATTACAACAAAACTACAGGCTATATTTTTTGGGAAACTTTGTGGAAGGGTGAACTATGAGCCATGGACGAATCCTTAACATTTTGGAGCAGATCCAAATCTCGGGGTAGAAACACAAATGTATCTAATGATGTCCATGCTACACCCTTTTCATTATTCAGATATTTTATTTCTTATGACAAATGCCCACATTTTACATTGATTTATCCAACATTTATCTACCAGGCAGGTGCGTAAAACACAAAAGGATTCCCTGGCTGTAGCATGGACTACTGCCTTAAACAGTATATTACAATGTTTTGGATTATTATTTATTACAGATTTAAAAGGGCATATCAAATAAGCTCCCAGTCTTTAAGAGTGAGGTTTTGTTACAAAATAAAATATTATCCTCAGATTAGAAAGGTTAGGATTTTGAGGGAATCACCTGAAACTAATAATCATTATGTTGTTGTCAGCTTAGAATGAGTAAATCCTGTCTACAAATTGTCTAATTAAGGCCACTGTAGTTCTCTAGTTGGAAAGGTAGGGGTATTATTCAGTTGGTTGCAATCTACAACCTTGTTGCTAGACGCTATTACATCCTACACACTGTTGTAGGATTGCTGAACCCTCTTTGAACAAGTTAGAAAACTCCATCTCCGGATGACGACCATGAGATCCAACTGAAAGCTCTTGAAAATGCTTATACTGTACATGTTTTCCACAACAAACTTCAAATCTCAAGGCAAAGTAATCCATGTTATATTTACCCAGCCAGGCAAAGTAAAGTGCAATCTTCTCTCCAAAGTACTCTCTGATGTGGTCCAGTGGCTGGTACTTGTACCATTTGCACCAGCGGCTCCAGTAGTGATGAAGAATCTGCCTCTGGTTCAGCTCGTCAGGACGAATCTCACACTTTGGAAGCTTGAAGGAGCCCTGTGGGAAAAGAAACATGCGTATTGTAGAGGACAGGCAGCAGAAGTGTTCCATCCGATTAAAGAGCAGATAAATCATTTCTGACCTCGTGCAGGGGGAAAGCCGCTGTGTACACGCCTTCATTCACAAGTCTGTCCACTCCAACCTCAGCCCTCTTCCTTTTGCCGTACACCGTTCTGGCAAGAATCTCATACACCTAAAAATAATACATATATTCTCCTTTCATGAGAGAACAATTTCACTGATTTCGTGCACTGAAGAGGAATTCCTGATACTCACAACACGGTGTCTCTGCGTGTTCGTGAAGTAGGTGTCATGGTTGTCACAGCCAAGAAACCTGAAGAAGAGAGACAGTCATTTAGCCAAAATAAACTTTTACATACCGATCCTGTTATCAACCATGGATGATTAGAACTCACCTGTTCATCTTTGACTTGCGAAAGGCACATGTGTAATAGTCCAGCGGCCTGTTTGGCACTGACTCCATCATCATGTTAGGTATGCATAGTCTCTTCATTACCCGAGCAGATGTGTTGAGGTCCAGGTTTTGCTGAGCCTAAAAGCCAAACATATTCTGTATGAAAAACATTTCATCTTACTTTTTTTTTTGCTGCATTTCAGTTATTTGGTGACACATGTGGTTACTGGTGGTAAAAGTAAGTTCATTTTACTGATAAAGATCCCAGAGTTTTAAAAGAAATGTAGATCGTGCTCAGGAAAGGCAGACTCTTCCAGATACCATAGAAACTGGTGTTCGATGTAAAAGCAACACGAAGAGTTCATGATCCATGCAAGCAGCTACTGTATGTAGCTTTGAGCTAAATTCAGCAAACTAACATGCTTGCTGAATGAAAGTTTGACTCAATGCTGCCATGTTGATGTTTAAGTTAAATATGTATACCATGTATATATGTGTGTTTGCGATTCTAGGCTGTGTGTCAATTTGAGTTTTTCCTTAACTACACTTGCCATACGTCAGTTTGAATACGAAACACCCGGATGGTGAGTCTAATAATAAACTCATAATAGGCAAAAGGTTAAGTGTGAATTTTCTCCATCTCATTTGTTGCCCTCTTCACAACAAAGCGGAAGGGGTGGGAACAGCGGCGGATTAGGATAAACTGTTTTTACTTAGTAATAACAGCCTAATGTTGTCGAATAGAAGCCAACAGTATGTTTTTAAGGTTAATTTTACAACAAAAGGGTTAGATTTTTTACTTCTCATCAATCAAAGTACATAACGTACATAGTGAGCTTCATCGAAGAGTACTTGTGTACCAGCCTAGCTTGTTAGCATTCTAATGTCCAGTACTAAGCACTAAACATGCACATGTTTTGCTGAGGCTGATGGCATTGTGACCATATTTTTTTGACAAGCCATCCAACAGTCCAAACCACAGCATGCCGCAAAGTTTAGAAATCTATTTCAAGTCAGTAGTCTGAGAACCAATCATTTCTGTACAAATTCCATGGTTATTTATCTTGTACATGTTTACACATTTTACATTGATCAGTATAAGTGGAACGGTAACGCATCTTGATGCTCTGAACACATTTGAAAGCACTCTATCTAATCATTGTTGTGAACTGACAAACAAGATACAAATCTTAAGTTTTATATCTTCAAATTAGACCTAATTGATTAACCAGCAGCACTAACCTGCAGTGGAGCTCTGAGACAGAGTTCCTCAGCGAAATACACCAACACATCCCAAGGAGCGCTAAGTTTAAGGAAGTGTATTGTTTTCTTTTCATTCGATGTTTCCTCCTAAACAGAACAGAGAACATTTGAATGAGAATCATCTAATTCAGAACAAAAATATGTGTAAAAATGAATAAAGATTAAAAGCAATAATCAAATTTACAGCACCTTTTCCATGACTAATCCAGCACTCTCCAGATTCTGAACAAACTTCTCCCTCCACTGAGCCAGCTGAGCCTTCCTGCGTTCAGAGCGGCTGCTCTCCTCGGGGGGCGCTGCGTCCCCCTCCTCACCCGTCACCTCGCTCTTCCCTTTTCCTCGCCGTTTCCTCCGCGAGCGAATCTCCCACACGAGTACGAAGTCTGAACCCAGATAAAAAGGATAAACGCAGGTCTGACTTGGTCATCCATCATTGAGCCTGTGACAACTAATACAATGTGAGACCCTGATTCACCTACCAATTTTGGTTTTGCCATCTCTGAAGTAATTCCCCAGCTGTGGAACCGACTGGTCACTTTTTGTATTACAGTGCATATAAATGGGATCATCATCATCGTCAGCAGCTGCAGCTGAAAGCTAAACGCATCCAAAGTTATTAAAATAAAAAGTGCTTGCAAATAATTACATTAAAAAATCTACTCACTGTTCTGTTTGTAAAACCTTTCTTCTTTATATGGACAGTTAATTAGCTCTTTATTAGATTTTACCTATAAGACCCCGTGCCATTACTCAGCAGCCTTCACTTTGCAATAATCCAGCAAGATAACCCTGAGCTTTTAACAGTATAATTGGATAGTTTAAAGCAAATGTTGAGTTTCACAAGACCTTTTTTCCCTAGTGATCTACAGTTTGTAATCCTGTGTATTTCAGATACACTGCAACATGTCAGAGAAGTCAGTGAGGTGTGAAGGGATGAGCGAGATAGCAGGGTCCATAGCCTCTTTTCAATCTGTGTGATGCCTAGATAAAAGGAAAACAGACCGCAGTGTTATGGGGGAAAAAAGTACAATTCTGCTTACACATCTAGGCGGGATATAGCTCCCGTTGTGCACACTCCCATATCCATCTGTGGTTTGGGCTTCACTCTCAGAGTGCAGATCCAGGAGGACCTCTCTGTCTCCCTTCCTCAGCATGATGAGGAGGATGGCAAAAGGTCCTGTGGGCGGTCACATATGCTGAGCATTCACATGAAATCGCACTGTTGAAGAGCTTATTACTGAAGTAAATCCCAGATACACACATGCTTTAAAGAAAGATACTCAAGTGAGAAAAGATACTATACCTGTGCTGTAGTGAAAATCAGCTGCTAAAGTGTGGATTTGCAGAAATATGTTCTTCCCTTCTCCTCTCCCTCTTATATCTCTGCGTCCGTCAAGCTCCTCTGCCAGATAGCTGTAAAATACCGTAATATACGTAGCGTGCAGGCAGCAGCTGCATTTCAGCAGAGGGAATCAGGACATGCAGCACAGCGCACATCCCCACTTCATAAATAATGTAATAGTCAGTCAGAGGCGGAGAATGGGAGAATACAATTCTAGCTTTCTCTTTAACGCTCATTATGCAGGATATAAAACGTGTGGGGGGGAATATTCTCATTGATGTTTTTTGTTTTTGTTTCTCATCTAAATCAAGCTGTTTGGCACATTTCATTTAATTGGTTTCCAGATGAACAGCACACACAATTAACATTCATTATTAACAGGGTTAGAGGAGAAGCTCCACCCCTCTTAGCTTTATTTCCTGCATCACTAGACAGAGGTTGTTCACGCCTTAAAATCCTCTTATTTGACAACGTCCACTTGCACTATCGGTAACATCATTGTTTTTCTCCAAACCTCCTTTTAAAGTGGACCGCTTTGCTGCAGTCAAAACACAGCTAGATGTAATTAGAGTGGGGAGAAATAAGAGCAGCTGACAGGGAGACAGGGAGATGAGTCATAGGAGGGAGGTATTAAAATTGCATTACGAACTGAAAAACTGGAGAGCAGAGCAAAAGAGGGAAAGCACGGCATGTATCATGGTATTACTGGGTAGAAATACAGTTTGCTGTCTGGATAATTCAAAGTATTATGCATCAAATACAGCATAATGGGACAGTTTTCTCCTGACAACTGCACATACGCTCAAAATTAGGGGTGTAGCGATGATTAGGGATGTTTATTAAGGTTGATTATATAGAAAAAAAAGTTAAAGATGAATTTGATTGACTCGACTGATTTTTTGAATCGGCAAGTAATCTTAATATTTTCTTAAAGGGGCCCTATTATGCTAATTGTCAGGTTCGTATTAGTATTTTGTGCCTCTACGGTGAAATGTTTACATGCTTACATGTTCAAATGTTTCAATTTTTCTCATACTGCTGCAGCACCTCTTTTCACCCTCTGTCTGAAACCAGTGCCCAGTCTGCTCTGATTGGCTGGCTGGCTCTGTTGTGATTGGTCAACCACTTAAAGATGGCCCACCCCTTAGCCTATCACCTACAATGTGTTGGAGCACAAGCCAATAGAAGGACAAGTGTGACATAGTGATGTCACTATATTACGGGAGTAAACAAAGGACTACAATGGTGGCGTTTCAGGCAGTGGGGGGAGGGAGTGTGTGGGAGAGAAACTCCCTCTGGAGGGAACTGTGGGATTTCAGAGGGGAACTGTTTCTATTTCTATAAATTAGGAGACTCGCTTTGCAGTGCCTGGTGTTTCATAGTTTTAACTCATTAAAAAGCTTTTGTAGTCAAATGTGTTTTCTTTTTTTTCCCTGGCCAAAGATTTAAGAATGAATGAATCATCAGCATATAGCTTTGATTCAACTGTCCTTCAGTTCCTCCAGCCACAGCTGATGAATGCATTTTTTTCTTTGTCATTTCATATCCTCCCAATCTGTTTCTTTGAACTTCTCAAAGAGACACAACTTAACTTAAATCCTTCCTCTCTATCTGACAGTGTTTATTTTTGATGTATCTACCCTTGCTGAGTCATTATGTGAGGACACTTTCCACTGACCATGAGTCTATTATATGTTGTTAATACTAATAGTAGGCCATGCACCATTTGCAGTACTGCGTCAGTGATCAATTTGAAACATCACTCTCTTCTAGTCAGTACACAGCATTTTTCCACAGTCAGCTTTTGCCCCCCACTGTGTTGCCCTGTTGCGAGTTAATGTACCTTTACCTTTCCCTCTCCCTTCTCTCTAATGAAGATCTGTAAGTGATGCAGTTCTGTATTGTTGTGCGCAGAGAAAACAATACACACAAGGAGTTAATGGTTCTAAGAAACCATGGAAACGGCACTAGTACACCCAAGGTGACATTTAATGCTGCTCCAATAATAAAAATGTTATTGAAATAGACCAGCAGTAACTTGTTGCCCTAGCAACTACAAAAGGATAATCAATAACACCAGAGGCAGTGAACATGCTGTATGCTCTATGCTGTGCAACCTATTGTCCTTTTTCACTAAGGACTCAATACAGCTGGTACCTAAGATCTTTAGTTGTAACAGTCTTAAAGTTAACTCAACTGTCTTTAAAGGGGCCCTATTATACTTTTGGGGGTTTTCCCTTTCCCGTAGTGTGTTTTTGAGGTTTTAGTTCATGTAGATGGTCTGCAAAGGCTAAAGTCCCAAAGTTCTCTAAAACACACTTCCCCCCCCTGCCTCCACACGCCATTTGTTTACTTCCATAACATAGTGACATGATGTCACTATGTTATGTAACACTCGCTCTTTTTGACTAGCTCTCCAACACATTGTTCGTGATAGGCTAAGGGGAGGGACATTTCCAACACATCTCTAAGCAGTTGAAATAAAGACCTTGTTGAACATTAAAGCATGTAAACATGTCACAGTAGAGGCAAAAAATACAAATATGAACCTACAAATTAGCATAATATGTCCTCAATTAATTACATTTTGTTTAAAAATACCTTAGAAATTGTTAGAAGCTGAAGTCTCCATACTTGAATTCCAAACAGTAAAATTTGCTCCAAAGTCAAAACTATATGATTAGACATAAAATAAACAGCTGGGGAAAATAATAGTTTGTTTTGGTAGAAAATAAGAAAATATACTTAAAATAATAATAGCGATTGAACTAGAAGGGCACTTTAAAATCGCAGACCTCCCGGCAAATCCAAATGACTTTTCTCACAATGATAAGAAAGGTACCAATTTCATTTGTATATCCACCCTTGGAGCCGAATCCACAAACATTTTGTATTGGTTCGTTCTTGGCCCATGCTTCACCCTACAAGTTTAAGGAACATTGTGAAGGAAGTTTTTCTGTTATCCTGCTGACAAACTCACCAAACAAACTGAAAACCGAACTTCCTTGGTAGAAGTAAAGCTTAGAGGAGCACTGAGCCTCAGCGGAAAACCATTTATTGGCCAACTATGTTCACTGGGGTTATTGTCATGTTGTCCCTTAACAGCCTTGTCCAAGCCATGAAAAACAGCCCTAAACCAAACATTCAATAATGGTAGTTTATGGTGTGAAAGCTAATAATAAATTGCTACAAAATTAGACCTTTTTAAGTTTATCAATACCACATACATAGTATGTACATTATCATAGACAGACCGCTCTTATGTTAAAAGGTTTAAAGAGGGACTGCATATCTGACCTGCCCTCTACTGGTGACGGGGAGGAACTGGAACCACCTCTGAAAGAGCACAGCATACAGCAGCTGCAAAGATTAGTTGATTGGTCATAAACTAATTAAATAATCGGCGACTATTTTTATAATCAAATCAGTTTGAGCTTTTTCTTAAGAAAAAAAGGCAGAAAAACCATTGCTCCTCTCTGACAGTAAACTGAATATCTTTCAAGTGAGAAAAAAAACAAGACATTTGTCATCTTGGGCTTTGGAAGAAAACTATTTTCACCAATTCCTGACTTTTAATAGACCAAACAATCATTCAATCAATTGAAAATGAATAGACGGATGCTTGACAATGAAAATGATCCTAAATTGCAGCCCCAAAGCATAGCTTATTCGACGAGAAATCATTTGCTTTTTCGGTTGGAAAACAAGGATTCAAAGTTCTTCTAGCCTTACTGTCTTTCATCAGTATTGGTTTAAAATATCATGTGGAGAAAAGTAATGTAGGCTAGAAATTGAGCTTTGAAAGTGAGGAATTAAGTTGGTTAATACTGAATCGTAAACAATAATCAGCAACAAAACAACTCTTACAGATGTATTACCGTCAGTATGCTGTTCTGTTTGTATTCTTTGTGCTGACAAGTTGACAACCATCCTTTAAGATGGATATAGCAAAAAAGGCCATTTGCAATAGACAACTCTCTTACCTGCGAATCTTCTATCCCTGCTCTAACATGACTGTCCTTTTGATCTGACTGACAGCTCTTCCCTGGATTCACCTAAAACAGAAATATAAGTGATAAAGTCAGAGATACTGGAACATATTATAGCACGCGGATCACCACAGGAGCCAATGTTTTCATCTCAGTTTATTCAGTTACGCTTTCCAATCACAAAGGTATATTTGTACATTCATTAACATTACAAAACCTTCTGGACATGCACGTTTTTATGTGCGAGTGTACAGTATGTTATATTCGATTAGTGCTCTATTTACAATTCAATAAACCGCTAAACATGTACAAATATTACATGCAGTATACATTTATGAACAAAATCGAAAAGGCGCTTTTCACTTAGAAGATGTCATCCATCATTGGCCAGCAATGTCCCACATTCAAACCCTCTGTTCCAAAAAGACGAACTTTAACCTTTTTCTTTATATACACTTCATAGGCCACAACTTTATTTCTTTTATTGATAATCCAACAAACAATTCAAGTAAGTCCAACTCTCCCTGGTCAAAAATACCTTAAATAATCCACTTGGTGAGCTACATCCTTTTTTAGATCTCACTGAATTATTAAGGACTTTTACATACCACCTTATCCATCATTTAATATTCCTTTGCAGCCTTGTCTGTTTAGGTGCGCAAAACAACTTCACAACGCCGCGTCGAAACAAAATAGAAAAAAAAGTGAGTGCTAAGGTTTCGGATGTGACGTACCTTTTTCACCTGAGATTAGATTTCTTTGTAAAAGAGCCGAAGTTGAATGGTAGCACTTAGAGAGGCTTAAAGCACTGATAATGTGGACATGAACATGTAGTGGAGAAAGACATTTTGCACAAACATACATTTATGACATAAGGCTGGGCATCAATTGAAGGTTTTTCTAGGCGTGTTCAAAACTTTGGGAAAAAAAATAGCAGAATGGTCATTATTTGGAGATATTTGGCTGAATAGAATCACATTTTTTGACACAAACCTGCTGAATTCCAACGGCAAAAATCAGGAAATGTGTAACTAAATAACAATGAGCATAAGGACCAGAATTCGATACAGACACCTTGATGTCTGTACTTAAAAACATTGGATACTCAGCCCTACATACAGCACATACTTTGACTTGACTTTCAAAAGAAACCAGAACTCAAATCAAAAGATGATTGTTTAAGTGTTCCAACACAGTCTGTCAAATTGTACAGTGTAAGGCAACAGATAATAAGGATGATTAGTGCTTCATTTAGTTTTAACAAAATTGGCCATTTTGTACAGTTTAGACATGGGTTGTCCAAAAAGGTGACATTGTCATTGCAAAAGAAACCTAATGCTGATTTCATACTCATAATGAGAGCAGAAACACACCGTTACACAGAGCAGCGGCACTAAATCAGTGGTAGTGTAGAAGGCAGATGCTTAACCCAATATCATTTTAGGCAAACCCTCTTATTGGACAATTATCATTATTACACCTTCTGGAAAATAAATAGATGCTGACATGAGCATTCTGTGGCAACAGCGTCACAGAAATGGCTGGCAATATGGAGAAAATCAAATATCACCATATCTCTGATCAAATACCTTGATATATATATTGGGACATATTATAGTGTTGACTGTGCTTGTACATTTTTAAATAATGCTTAGTTTTGTGGATATTAAGGCAAATAGTAGTATGGCTCAAACAAAATCCAGCCTTGAAAACCAAGAAAAGACACCATTACGCTCAGAAATGTAAGATGATATCTTGTGTCATATCACAATATCGATCTAATAACGATATATTACCCAGCCCTAATCACGGCCGGTTTAGGCTTTTTCAATTCTTATTACTTCTCCAAGTGATGCTTTAATATTAGATGATTTTACAGAGTACTTATCTGCTAAGAACAGATGATACTCTGCTCTTGGTTAAAAGGATATTTAAGGATTTCATAAACCTCAAATAGTGTCTTAATGACTAGTGCAGAAAGGCACTTTCAGCACTAGTCAGGTCGTACTGCACAGTACAGTATGATGCCACTCGTTTTAAACAAAAGGCAACTCCTAGCTCTCAGTCTGTAACATATTCTTCACACTGACTGACATTCTTCTTACTCGATACACTAAAAGAGAGGTATACGTCAATATCAGGAACAATAAAATGTCCGCTATGAATTAAATAATTTAGTAACACTTCCCACTTTCTCTACAATGGAAATTAAAGCATGTTATGATACTAACACATAACCACAACTGGTACTGTTGTGAAAAACAACAGCGAACACAATGTGCAAGTCTGCATGGAAGCCTCCGCTCGTCTCTACAGAGTGGAGAAAAAGGCAAGTCTGTTGCATTTCCTGATTTTAAAAAAATCTTTAAATTGGTTTAGCAAGAGTTCAGATAGACGACACGAGCATGTCATGCACAGTGAAACAGCTAAATATAAAGATATCCTTCATATTGAGATCCTCCTCCTCTCGAGCTTATGTGGCAATAATTCAGTGTAGAGGTATGTGCCCGCAGACAAACCAAAACGGAGTATTAGAAACCATCAGTGAGTATGCGTTGATGCTACACAGCACTGTTTTTTGCTCTATTTTGTACTTTAGTAGCACATCTTGTAGGGCACGTGTCCCCATAGCGCCTTTTTCTTGCGGAAAATCGCTGGCAGCGGACGTTCCCAGCGTTTCAACAATAAAACACTCCCTGCGCTTTTTTATTGTTTCTATGACAACGATATGTCAAAAAAGGGGTCGCAGCTGTTGACCGACAAGCATGGATTTCATCATCCGTTTGTGCTACTATATATTTGTTCACAATGTTTGTTTCTGCTCCAACCAATGGGCTTTACGGTCTCTTATGAAACTTATGATAGTTTCCATTTGACAGAAGAGCACTCGGACAAAACATACGCTTCCGACATCATGCGCTGTTCTCATTGGAATCCATTTAAATAAAAAAAAGACGCTGTATGGTCACGGGCCCTCACTAAACAAACATTTATGTGCGAAAATAAAGCGTTTTTTCTGTCTGTCTGCAAGGCATGGAGTGTGAACTTTCCCACGTCGCAAATAAGAGTCAACTGCCCCCTTAACATATGGCTTTCTCTACATAAATCCCAGATTTTTCATTTTTATTAAGAGAAAACATTTCTCTGTGGAGTGAACCTGCTGGTAATGGACCCTTGTCTTTCTTCAAACTCAGCTTCGTCAAATGTTTCTTTTATCTTATAAAGGAATATGTGTCACGAGCATCAAATAAAATCGGTTGTATCCATCCATTAGTCTTCGTTCATTTCATTTAGATTAAGAATGTCTGGCTGTTGCATCACTGCGATGTGATCTGCTGGATGCTTGCTACTCCTGCAGGCAGTTCTCTGATAGAGATCGGTATCTCAGAGGTGCATCACAAGCTCACGCTGCAGTGCAACGACCAATAACCACGTCTGATCTTTTTAGCTTTGAGCTCAGGTTACAGCGGCTGTTTGCCAGAGTTTAATCTATCTTTTCTGCAACTATAGCAAACCGTTTATCAGTACGTCTCAGTGGCGACCCACAGGTGAGTGTGTGAGTGTTTGTCTGTCAGCACCAGGGTTCACGCTGCGCTCTGCCTCGGGCCAGACTGTCTGCCCTCTGCCAGGCGCTGTGCATCAGGGCGAGGGCCTCGCTGCAGCGCTTCTGCACAGAGGGGTCCACCACCTCTCTGTGGGGGAGGTCAACCTGTGTGTGGAGAGGACATACGTGAGGGTTCAACTAAAAGGACAGCCAGAGACAATGTATGAGTAGTAGATCTGAAAAACAAATATTCTTTGGACAGCAAATAATGCAGCGTTACTGATTTGAATGACTAGTCTATCCTCTCACCTGGAAAATGGCCTTCCATGTGGTGCTTAACACCTCCATCAGTCGATCTCTCTCCTCACAGCCGCTGAAGTACAACACCCAGGGAGGAAGGAACTGTGTCCGATCTGAGGCAAACTCCTACAGAGGGACAAATGGGAAAGACCCACATTAAAAGTCCTAACAACAGGAAATAATATCAGTACTATAAACAGTTGGATATTCAACAGTTCACCTGATTTAAATACCAATCACACAGTCCAATCTTCGCAGTTGGAGGAAAATGTGGTAATGAAACATAAGATAATTGGATTCAAGGGCCACGTATATTTTTTGTTGTGGACAGCCCTAATAAACCTGTGTAATTGTTGTGCTGTCTGTTAATCAGTCATGCCCTCTTAGATATATAGAAAAAGGAGGAGGAGCTTCTGTTTTTTTTCTGTTCAGCATGTATTCACCCTAAACAAGAACCTGAAAACTTAATAACGGATAAGGTAAAACTGTACGTCATATATGCATCACACATGAGTACAAGTCTAATATAAAACCATATATTTTGAGCAGATGGCCACTCACAATGACGCAGTACTCCTTGTCGGTCTCCACGCTGACAGCGGTGACATCACAGATGTCGGCGCTGCCCAGCGAGCGGAAGAAGCTGGTCTGACAGTCCTGATGGCAGGTGAGCAGCTTCCTGTCTGTCATCACCAGGCAACATGGGATACAGGGAGTGGGGGCCACACCCTGAGGGATGACCTGCAGGGGAGGAGGCTTTCATTTAATTTCATCATGTGCATATAAACAGGGCTTGAATACATCTTTATTGACATTTTGCTGAGCCGTGGATCCTTCTTGCACATTATGAACATCAGCATTCCATAATTTTTCCCCTGCATCTATAAAAAGATATTGTGATGCATGCAATACTGGAAAAGTAAAACGTGCTGGCTAAACACATGTTGTATGCTCCTCACCCCTTTGGAGACGGACTGGCAGAGCAGCAGCATCCACTCGGACATGTCCTGCTCGTTGTTGGCGATGAGCTCCAGCGGGGGGCGCTCCGTCAGGATGACCTGGAAGGCGTGGGGCCGCTCCGTGCTGTTGGAGCGCCGGCAGCCTCCACAGTGCTCTCCTCTGCGAGACAATATATCAGTAAATAGCTATGTCTCAGAGTGTTTACTTCCTTTTAAGTGTTATTAGTAAAAAACTGTCCTTCTGCTATGTGCTTCTTACCCCATAGTGACGGACAGCACAGGCGTGACATCAGTTCTTTCTGCATACAGGTACAGAATCCCTTTGCTGCAAGAAAATAGAGCATTTATTTGTATTATCAGAAGCTAGACCATAAATGACATAAATATAACGTTTTTATTAATAGATATAATACAATCTAAGCTTTACTAGATGAATGCCAGCATCAGTCACAATCCACTCAAAACCACTAAAATATCAATTTTATTATAGCAATAGGCAGGACTACTGTCAGCCTCCTATACGTGTTGTGCTATACATTGTGTACCTCTGGACAGATTGGCAGGAAATCTGCAGGACTGTTTTGCTCAACGCACAACATTCACAGAGTCAGTCTGTCTGGAAATATGTTGGCATTTTTTACTTCAGCAGAAGTGTCAAATAGTTAACCATACATTTACCTTAATACTACGGATTAAGGTAAATGTGACCTACACTTTTGGCATGCAAAACACAATCATTTACAGACCCTCTAAGCCTTTTTATGATTATATATCTTAAATAGTTACTATAAATGCAATTGCACAAAATAAATGTCATAGTATGTCTTTACACCCCAGTGTAAGAAAACGTTTTTAGAGAGTACTTGTCCATGGACAAGTGAGTTTGGCAATTTACTTGTCCGAATACATTTTTCACTTGTCCAGAAAAATCGATCGGCATCGTATTTGACATTTTCCCATGTTTTTTTACGGTAAGATTTTACTGCATCATACATAGGGTTGGGTATCGTTTGGATTTTAACGATTCCGGTTACGCTTTTTGATTCCGGTTCTTTTTGGTTCTTTGAGAGGGTAAAAATAAGTCCCATGACAAACTGGGAGAAAAATATATTTATGAAAACATTAAGTCAAATCTGTATTCCTATTTACAAATCACTTCATACGGTTTAATTTTGTTACGGTTATTGAATACAATTATATAAAAATAATTGTTTAGTTAGTTCCAAGTGGTGCAGTTTGAGAATGTACAACTGGCCCAGTCTCCTCTGATGTTACACTGCAACCTGCCTGTGAGACAGAGTCCAACCACACAGTCTGTGTGTCCAACACATGTCCTGCTGCAATACACATGCTGCAGCTGCCCAGCTGCTCACTGTTTGTAAAAGTAAATAAATAGTATTTTCATTTCAATAATGTACTTTCTATACCCTGCTTCATAAACAATACTGACATCCCTGTGCACCTCCGAGTCTGGGGGTCCGGGGATGTGAGGACAGCGCGAGGACACAGACAGGGAGGTTGATTTAATTCATAAAGGAAATGGCAGTCAATATTAACAACACAGGAGCTAAAACGCTTAATAACCTTCATCACGTGTTAGAGAAAGAACATAAGAAAGTTTGACAAATATGAGGCTGTTAAACGGGCAGCGAATCCGCTGTGTGTAGAAAGCGATCAGCTGATACGGCAACACGATACGGAGCATAGGGACTCGGCCTCCGCATCCTGTCCTCACAACTCTTATTAATCCCGGTACCGGACAATTGTTATTTGTTCTTACTCGGAACCGAGTTTTGCTTCCCAAGCCTGCCACTGTGCTACACGTCCCGCCCCGTCTAACAGTACAGAAAGCGGCGAGATGCATTTCCTTAGGAATCGACAAGCAAAACCACAACAATGGCGGACACGGACAATTTGCGAATTAGTTCGCTGAATTTATCAATAATTTGTCAATAAATAAGGGCGAAAAACGTCACTTGTCCATCGGACAAGTCAATTGAAAGATCTACTTGTCCGATATTGTAAATAACACGTCCCGGACGGTGGAACGTGTGCTTTTTCCCACATCGATAAATGCTAATTTCTTTATTTTATTAGCTGTTCATATACATTTTATCTCCCGAATATTTTTGGTTTACATGCTTGTGTAGATATAACCAAGATTATGATTAAATCAAACATTTTCACGCTTAATAATGTTTTGAGAAAATGTAAACATTTAAATAAAGCATATTCCTGACCTTGAAAACAATTGAGCATTTTCCAAACTATCAAAACTTTTGTCTTTAACCCTGGACATTAATGCTTCTTGTGAGCCCATTCCATCTTGTTAATACAATGCAGGAAGGTTAATGTCCTATGTCATATGTTGTTCTCATAATCGTTGCAAGCCAAAATCGTAATTGCGATTAAAATACGATTAATTGAGCAGCCCTAGTCCAATGTACAAAATGTTGTATTGAACCTAGCTGATATATACATTGATAGCAGCTGAAAGGAGCTGCCCGTACCTGAGGACGAGGTAGCAGCTCTTCCACAGCTCCTTGCCCAGGTAGGTGGTTCCGGAGCGGTACTGCAGAGACCCCTCTTTGGTGCTGGCAGGCCGTCCAGCAGATGGTGGGCCAGCCTGGGGGGACAGAGTCATGTCCATGGGATCCTCCCAGTGGACCAGGGAATACAGCTGGATAGACACTTCATATGCCTGGAGACACAAGAAATAAGTATATGTTCTTTATGAGTCTGCAAAAGAATAGTGGGGTTGTTAAATAAAAGAAGAAAATGTTCTTCCTTTTATGTAAAATATGAAAATGGACTTATAGAGACTTAAGTATTTCTCACTGTGAACAACATGTTTGATTCATTTTCAATATAATGTTAATAATAAAAAGTCTGCATTGCATTACTGTAAGATGTTGTGCATGTGTGATCATTGGCACACACTACTTGTGATTTGTGATAACTAATTTCTTTTGAAAATAAGTTTCTATTTCAGTCAAAAGGCTGTCATTCTGAGCAAGTAAAACAAATTACTTTTATGTCAAAACTCTGTAATTGTATTTTATGATTAATAGTTGAATTGCTGCATTTATGTCAGCTTTCTCTCTGCGAAAAACAGAACTATAATGAAGAGCTAATGCAGTGTATGTCAAGTTTAACATGTCTGTACCTCACAGTGAGATTCCTGGGAGACAAACTTAGTGAGGGCCAGTTTCTCCATGGTAGCGTCCGTCAGCACAGAGGGGTACGGAGGCTCACGACATCCCTTCACCATGGCTGACTTCAGAATGGATAAGAAACACCTGTAAGTGAAGGAAGAGGAACTGGATGAGATCAGAGGAGAGACTAACAATCACCAAAGTGTCTAGTATGGCTCATATGTGAGATTTTAGAGGTATGCATGCTGGTTCTTTGCACACTGACACAATTACGGCTTGCAAATAAGACCATTTATTGAGCCAAAAAACTAAAACAAAGGTGCAGAGATATACAGGTTCACTCACAGAGTCAGAGAAGCATCAGCTGTGTCCAACAGGAACTTCCTTCTTCTGTTGTTGCAAACCACCATCACTGTCTGTTGGTCAAGGCCCACCTAAAGTAAAACAACATTACAAATAAGATATCAGACACAAAACGTTGTGCTCCACTACCCCAGCTGTCATGTCATGCTTAAGTCTACATGGTTCAAATCTTCTAACTTAACATGGATCACATTGAGGATCATGTAGACTGCAGGTTCAACCATGATGTGACAGTTTGGGTAGTGGAGCAGTATATGAATATGTTGTGCCACTGCTGGGACATGTTTACATACACTTACATGCACAAAAACCTTTATAACACACTACAGGAAAGGAGAAAACTTAAAAAGCATAACAGGTCTCTTTAACTCATACATCTTTGGTAATGTCAAAGAACCTTAAAAGATTTGTTATGCCTTATTTGGTTTGGATAGACTCACTTTTGGTACCAGCACTGCTTACACAGTGTGTGTATAAGCAGTTTTAAAGGACACTTACTGAAAGATAGTCCATCTCATTGTAAGAAACGGCGTCTTCTACTGTGTAAGGCTTCTCTGCTGCTCCTGTGGAGGAAAACAAGAGTCATCCAGTGAGAATATGTAATGGGAATTATTTTCCCATTCAAAATAACATTACTGAGATGTGTTGTCCACTTCCTTCAACATTGTGTCGATGTTATAGGACCCTTGCAATGGTTGAAACTCTCAGATCGGCGGGGATTTACAGGGTTTTTACAGTCATGATCAAAACTTTATTCTATTAATGTTAGGAAAGTCAGAGATAGAAACCGGACTTCCATATGTAAAAAAAAAAAAGGACTCAAGTGTTTGTGCAAAAGTCAATATTTGCTGTTGTTTTTAGCCATTTACCCTTCCTAAGCAGGTAGATGTAACAGTCCGTCAGCAGCAGGTACAGGGGCTGCAGGTCGCCCTCCATATGGCCTGTGCTCATTCTCAACATCTGAAAACATAAAGGAAAACTAAGTGTCAGCAACATCAATATTCGTCCTGATTAGGATAATTAAGATAAATAGTTAAGCGTGTGAAACATGGTGGATTTGAAACTACTAACGAAATACCAATAAGATACATTACTACAAGCGGAGTAAAAGCAGTTAAAAAAGGCAGTTAGCAAACTGAGCCTTTCAACACTTCCAATGAGCAACGGTCTCCAAACCACTGTGTCCATTTTGCAACATGTATGAGTTTTACAAGAATGGCTTGAAGACGTGCGAAAGACCTACATATTTGTTTTAAGACTTAAACAGGTCTCTTCTCTAACTGTTATCACTCAATTGTTAATATTACAGCTGAGCCATTACATACATTCAAATTTCCTCCAAATGATGCAACTTCTTTATAAAACAAATAAAGAACAACTGTGATTGCCTTCACCTTGAAAAGCTGCTCCTCATTCTCCCTGAACACGTGAATCATGAGAAGAAGCAGGTGATTGTTGTCCACCCTGAAATATGAATAATGTTAGACACACTTTTAAACAACAAAATAAGTCATTTTTAATTACTTACAATAACATAATAATAGGTTAGAATATTCTATATATAGACCAATTTACTACGACTTAAAACAAATATAGATACAATTAGAATACAAAATTATAAAAGTGTGCAAAGTAGTTGCAGGTTTTTCTTGTTTTTTTAAATGCAGTGAGCTAGTGATGCAAACTGTTCAGTGTTATTGAAAGGGAAAAACTAAAGAAACCTAGAAGCTGTGAGTTCTCTGTTAGCCAGAAGTGAGGTAGGATTTTGTAGAAGTTTCTTACTTAAACTCAGCAGGATGAGAACTCTCTGCCTCCTCATTAAATGTATTCTTGTTGTTTTCTTCTTCTTCTTCTTCTGTACCTTCTTCCGTCTTTAACTCTGGCTCCTGTCCTTCTGCTGTTTCTGCCTCTGCTTCATCTTGAGGGCCACCTGGAAGATTCTGCGGCTGACGATGCTCTGCAGGGTCATGGTGGCCACCACCCGTGGGAGGAGAGCCTGGACTGTCAGCGGTAAAGCAGCATAAGTCTGCGGGCGCAGGAGAGGCAAGCAGGAAGTGGTGGTTTGTGGGCAGAGGGGAGCGAGGCGTCTCTCCTCGGGCCGGGTCGGGGGGCTCGCCCTCTGATGCCTCTCGAAAGGGCTGCAGGGAAGGAGGTTCGGGGCCCCTCTCGCTGTCTTTACTGCTTTTCTCCTTCTCTGTCTCCTCTCGATGCTCCCACACATCCTCCCTATCCAGAGTGCCGTTTATCCGGTCCATGACATCACGCAGGGACTGACCCACGGTGTCCATGGAGGTGTCCGTCATCTCCGGGAGCCGTAGGAGGCCTTCCGTTCCTTCCTCCTCTCCTTCCTCCACAACCTCTGATCCCACCCTACTTCTCCTCATCTCCGCCTCAGCATCCAGCTGAATCAGGGTCCCGTTTAGTGACTCCACATCCTCTGAGGGCAGATGGTGGTGGTCCAGTTCCATGTGCTCAGAGGATACAGAGTTGTGGATGCTGCTGAGAGAATCTGTGGAGCCCCTCCCTCGACGCTTCTTGGCTGGTTTCCTCCGCCTGGCCATCCTGGAAGATCAGAGTGGTTAGCTGTGGTTTCATCGTTATAATACAAACGTATTAACTGTATATAGAATGTGAGACTACAAGCCATGGACCAGATGCACAAAACACCTTATGTTAAGACTTTACTTTGTGTTAAGGTTTCCTTAAAGGTGGGGTAGGTAAGTTTAAGAAACCGGCTCGAGATACACTTTTTGTTATATTCCATGGAATGCTCTTAACATCCCGATAGCAATGAATATTTTAAGTGCTTTGACAAAAAATCCATAACAAAATGTCATCTGTGGAAGCCGTAGTACTGTAAAGAGCACGACCAATCATTTTAGCCGGCCCGGCTAAAATAATTGGATGGCCTACCTGCCTGTCAGCCTTCCATCTGTGCACAGACTTATCTCGTGCCCTCATTGGTCATGTGCGCGTTCCTGTGTGTTGGAGGAGGGGCTCTGTAAGGAAGTGGCAGATTTTTTCCGGCTGTGTATTTTCAAATTCTAGCGATCTCGAGCTGGTTTCTCCAAAATTACCTACCCCACCTTTAAAGAAGCCTCTAGATGGTAAAAAAATAAACATCTCACTAAATATTATAGCAACCAATTAAGGGAAAATCCTAAGGTACCTCATCTTAACAGCACAATGGCCCAGTTCATGGCAATAAATACACAAATATTAAATGCATCCTGAGAAGAGGAGAACCAAATGGAAATGCCTAATTATGAGGAAATGATACAATACTGCTATCTGTAAAATAGGAAAAATAATTTTATAATAAATGTATAATGTTTCTCTCCTCTGACCAACTTGCTTCTATGTGTTATTTTCTCCTTATTTGTCTACTATCTATAGCCCAACTTTGTGGGAAGATAACAAGCAACAAGAGCGCTAGTTCAAGCAAACGGTCTCCATGGAAACTGTAGGATTTTACCATCACAAAATGTTACAAAGCAGTAAAGGTAAATGCATTAAAGGGGCCCTATTATGCTTTTTGGGGTTGTCCCTTTCCTGTATTGTGTTCTATAGGTTTTTGTGCATGTGAATGGTCTGCAAAGGTTAAAATCCCCAGAGTGAGTTTCTCTCCCACAGAATCCCCCCCTGACTGAAACTCCTCCATTGGACTCCTTTATTTACTTCCGTTACATAGTGACATCACAAACAAACAAAAAAACTAACCCTAACCCTAAAACATTAAAACATGTAACAGTAGAGGCACAAAATACAAAGATGAACCTGAAAATAAGCATAATAGGACCCCTTTAAGGGATTCTGTGCCCTCAACTAAGAAAACATTAAGAAAACTTAAGGTGTTTTGTGTCTGGACACAACAACTAAAGCTGAGGCTTCTGTACCTGATGACCTCCAGCTCGTTGCCGGTGCCCTCTGTGTCCTCTCCAGCTGTGAAGGAGTTGTGTCTGCTGGCCACGTGCACTGGCGTGACGTCGGCTGAGGTGTTGGTGTCCGAGTCCTCGTTGAAGGGGTTGTGTCTGAAGGTGGGGCTGTGAGGAGCTAGATGAGATATTACCTTCATCCTCAGACCGCCGGAAGAAAGGACCACGGTGTCGCTGATGACCGTCTGCGGATCGGAGCTGCTGGAGCGCGGGCAGCTGGCCTGGTCCGTCAGGTCGCCCTCTGAAAAGTAACACAAAGACTTAACGGAACAGTCACCCACATTTAGTTCGAGGAGATGTACACAGAGGTGTTGGCGTTGTCTTGTTGGTAACTTGATAATGTTAATAAGTAATATAGGATTAGGATTGTTTCTATTATGAATGATATGAATTGCTGTATATGCTTTTACCACCAATGGTGATAACCAACAAGATTATTTGGAAAACCTTTGTGTATTTCTTCATCAGCGTCACAGACAAACACATGTTAGGGGCTGCAGCGTCCTTCACCGCAGTTCTTTGGCAGGGTCAGAGGCACAAACGCATTGCAGAAGACCTCGAGTGGGTAAAGTAGCAGCTTTTTTGCAGTGGCACAGGCCTAGGTTAAGCATTAATTACTGCAGCTAGAGATGGGTCATACAGATATTCAAATAAAATATTTTGCAGTAATCAGCACTTTTGATTCAACGTGAGTTCAGTGATCCAGCTATGGAATTGATCAAATGTGGAGATACTCCAATTGCATAACATTTTTATCCACCAATAATTCACACTTAATACTTTAATAGACAGTTGTGTGTTCGTTAAATAACACTTATTGCAAGCAGATGTTGAAGTTATAACAAGGATTGTGCACTCTGTGAGCTTATGCAGATTTCTTAAATGTCACCTCTCACAGCAGTGGAGCTTAATTTAGGCCAGTGCCAGATACACATAGGAAGAGAAGACTTTACATAAAAACGATACACCAGACAAACAGATAACACAGTGTCATGGAGACAGACTGGACGAGGTGAGTACCAGGCAGAAACCAGGCAGGCGTTTATGTTGCTGTGGTAAATAATAATGCAGAGTCAGCGTTAGGATCATTCCTCAGATGAGTAACACATGCAGAACAGGACACATATAAGTTCCCACAACACCCGTTCCCAAACTTACCAGTCAAAGCATTATTATGCATGATGTCACCTTTCTTTCATTTAACTTTATGTTGATCTAACTGTGAAAGCTTAAAATGTATATAGATTTTACAGCAGTCTTTTGCACTAGCTAGCTACACTTTACATATTAGTCTTATTTCTGACTAGAGTACCAAGCATGCTTTAAGCACAAACTGCAGGATGGCCATGCCAGATAAAAGGGAGGGAGGGGTCAAATGGGAGTAAGGGGAGTGGTTGACCAATGTCCCACCTTCCCAGTCTGCACTTGGCAATGACTGCAGCACGGGGAAGATGTCACCGAAATCATAATCTAAAAAAAAAAGGAAGGATAACATTGATATCATTAGAGAGAGATGTAGTGGAGACAGGAGAGAGGAGATGGAGAGACAATGGTACAGAAATAGTCAAACAAAAATAACATGATATATGGTTATATGGAATAACAGAACTGATGAAAAACAAAAAACAAAGTAGGAAGGGAACTAAATCTAAAGCAGGGAACTGACTCTGTGCTTTGTGGAGAGTGATGGGGAAAGCATTGGGCGAGTGCTGCAATGAGGACATCCTGTAGCTCTGCACGTGAGTGATGCATCTGATAAGAATGCTCTTTGGTTTCCTTTAGTCACTAGAGTCTGCAAAGATGAATCCAACTTCTGCTTCAACATGCCATTAACAGGGTTTTGCCCCCCTCAGCATGCTAGTTGTATTTGTCTAGTACAAAACATTGTGTTGGCAGCTTCTCATTTTAGCTGCTGTTACATGGGCAAATGTCACAGACGCCAGGGCATATCATCTGTCACTGATTCAAAATGAATTCCAGTGTAACTTTATGACAGATCGAAAAATAAACGTGGCTGTTTTCCGTGTGTGCTGTCTGCAAGCCTGTGGTTGTAAAAAAAAGAAAAAGGATAGATCACACTGTACCACCACTACGCAACATTTAGTGGACTGTCAAGAGTGATGCCTCTTCTCTTTGGCTGAGTTTGTCACGTCAATTTCAAGAGTCATTTTGAAAGTTTTATTCACACCATATTGATCATTCAAACTAGGGCTGCTCGATTATGGCAAAAATCATAATCTTGATTATTTGGATCAATAATTGATATCACGATTATTAAAAACGATTATCCATTTACTTTGAAAACATCCATTTATTGAAAAAAAAATGTTGAACAGTATGTTTTTAACAGTTGATTACCCTGAACTTCAAGTATAATTTAACTGAAAAACCAATAAAAAAAAAAAAATAATAATAATTGTTTTATTTCGATTAGGTTGTTTTCATAATCGTTGCAAGCCAAAATCGTAATTGCGATTAAAATACGATAAATTGAGCAGCCCTAATTCAAACTGATCAACGTCTGAATCAGGACCTTCACTATTTGGATGAAAAGATTGTTAAAATACATTGATACAAATTTAGAAGGCTACAACAGTGATTTCAAAGTGTTGGATACATATTTAATCACATTTAGGTAAATATGATCAGATCAGACGCTATGTATTGTTAAGAAACTCTGATTGGCATCAAGGCTAACAAAACGTTGTTCTGGACCCCCCTACTGCTTACCTTCACTGGAGGGGGCTATGGCGCTGTCGTCCCACTCCAGGTTGGTGGAGGTGAGGGAGGTGAAGGAGTGCAGGGACAGGCTGTCGGAGCTGGGCAGCCGCTCCTCAAAGTCCAGCAGGTTATGGGGTTTGTAGTATTCTGGCATGTAGGGGGCCACGTCCAGATAGGGCACATCCTGAAGCAGCACGACCAAACAGAAAGGTTACAAACACGCTGGTAGGATCTGCATTTCTATTTCTATTCTCATTGATTATACTGTATGCTGACCAGCTCCAGGTCAAAGCGGATGAACTCCAGGCCGGACACCAGCGTGAGGAAGAGTGTGAGGTGGTCATGGCTGCAGACTAATGCATTCCTAGCAGAGAAGAGAAGACATTTACAAATAAGTCTGCTTTCTATCCCCAGAGTCAAACTCAACATGGAGAGGCAGCGTTTAGTTTTTATGCTTCATAAATCTGAAAACTGCAACGCTCACCTCTTATAAATCAAGGCTAAGCCTTTTCTGTTGCCTAATAAATCAAATACCAATATATATAACACAGCATGGTAGCTTTTATTTTGTATACCGGTCTTATGTTTAAGCTTGATATTAGGTCTATTCTCTGGGCTTTTCATGAAATTTTTTTTATGTATTTAAATGGAACTGTCTTAATGTTTCAATTTTTTTTTTTTCAAGCGTTTTGAATTGCCTTGCCTACAACACAAATGTTTTGTAATTATGAACTTATCTAACAACCACAGAATGTTATCCCTAAAATTCAATATAACTTCCACTTATTACATGGAACAATTTGTAAAATTCCTCATCATCAACATCAGGATTTCTGAATGACTTACTTGAAATAATACTTCTGCAGTAATGCGTGGTTCTCCTGGAAGAGGCGTAGATAACTCTCCAAAGAGCTCTCACTCAATGCAAGGTATAACCATGCACGGCCTGCACAAAGAAAACAAGTTGTTTTGAAAAATTCAACCCAATCTTACCCCCCAATGTTCTGTACATGCGAGTGTGTTCCATTGAGCTTCAGAGATGTCTTACTTCGGCCGAGGTTGGTTGCTATGTGCTGGAGCTCATCTATCTGACGGACAGCCTCTTTCCTGGTGAAGTGAAGGACCAGGACCCAGTAGCCTGAGGAGATGTCCTGCAGGCTGTAATGTAGAAGAACAGACCATAATATCACATGCATGATGTCAAAAGGGGAAAGCTGAGTAGAGTGATGGCACAAGAGATAAATATTCACAGAAATGTAACAGAGAAACAGTAACAGAGACAGAGCGCAATGCATTAAGTCCTGCACACACTGAAGTGGAAAACAATTCATTACTCTGAATTTCCTTTGTATTACGTGATGGTGCCTTCTTGTCACATTTGTCTGCCAGCAAACAACAACACCATGCCTAATAGCTTCACTGTGGTGCACTACCAACAGGATAAAGAACCCATCTTTTAGCTTTTAGGCTGCAGATTGGAAAAACTGAGCCATTAAGAAGACAAAAATGAAGCATTAGTAGGTGAATTGGGAAAACTGTGGCTTACTGACACTTTGCATTTTGTCCACATGTCAGCTTTAGGCTAAATATTTTTCCTGTAAATTAAGCTAAAGCATTTTGAGAGTATGTAACACATATGTAATTTCATGTTTGAGAGTGCCGTAGCCAACAATATTAGATATTTAGCTCGTCCTATCATCATTTATTTATCAACATATTTGAAATCATTTCCCAATTTGGGATTAATAAAGTATATATCTATCTATTTCCATTGCTGACATGCTGAAGTGAATGTTTTTAGCTAGCTTCAGGCATGTTGTACGCATATCCGGTCTTGGTTGCATAACTTGCGGCTTATTGTTTCCCCTATAGTGTGGTGTTGCGTTCTGTCCCTATATACTCTGAATGATCCACACCTAGATCAATAATTGAACCAAACTGTAACTTGAAAAGCATGGGTCTAAAAGGTATAACAAATTGTGACGGTTCAGATAGAGGGACATGAGCAGGATCCATAACTGAAGACTTATTTACAGAATGCGCCTCAACTCTTTCCAGTGTGTAACTGATGTGCGGTTGGCCTCTTACCCGTACAGCAGAGCATGGTCCAGGTGTTCACAGAGACGCTGAAGGACCCGGTCGTGATTCCGGATAGCTGGGGTCTCATCTTCACAGGCCGCAAAGTAACTCTGCAACTGTACATGGTTTAAGTTATCACAAAATTAAATGACTATAAAGTTTTATTTTTGCTTTGGGGCATGGCTCTTGATAGAAATATTTGTATCATTCATTATGCATATAACCAAAACCAGCTGGGAATGAAAAACGTTAGCCAACTTGGCATGATGATGATGATGATAAGGATGATGATGATGATAAGGATGTAGGTAAAAAACATTCAAAAACATGGAAAACTGGTAATTACTAAATCAAGAAATTGCTTTAATGCAAACAAGCCAAACAATAAAGTTATGTGTTGGATGTAATGCATTAGTAAACTAATATCAAGGAATGTTTTACTTTTGTCTCTGAACTCCTGCAGACTGGACTCGAAAATAAATATCTTCAGTGCGATAAGACATGGTGTTCACTTCAATGTGGGATGAACAATGTAGGAATTGTAGCATGTTTCTACATGTTCCATGGTTAATGACATGCTTCGGGACTTTATAATCCTACAGTGCCCTTACAGTTAAAGCAACCAAGAATGTTGTGCCAAGTATTGGAATGTCTCTGACCTAAATCCAACTTAAGCCGGGCTGAGACTAAGGAGGTTTTGGGTCAATGTATCTACGGTTCAGCACTTTAAAACATGTTTGATATTAAATCCAATGTGCTGGAGGAAAAGCAACAAAAAAAGGTCACATTTCATGCGATGCTAAGTGTGTTTTCATGGTCACCCTCTTCCTGCAGAGACCTACTGATGCACCCAAGTATAGGTCAGAATAGCTTTGAGGATTGTGCCCCCGAAGAAAGACAATTTATATCTTGTGACTATCTCCACGTGACAGAGCAATGTTTGTTGAGGTAACACTTTCTTGGGAGCTTGAGACATACCATTTCCACTACTTTCACGGTCCTTATGCAGTACAACAGAGATACTGTGCTGCACCACTGTTCCTGTTTTGTAAATACCCTACATCTGCATTATTTTTGGTCAACGAATGACAATAAACGATTCTTAGCCGCGTTCACACCGGAGTACTTTTCACCGTACTTGAATCCTTGTGTAACCAAATAATAATGTATTAGACAAATAGGAGTTAAGGAAGTAGGTCAAAGTACTGGGCGTATTGCATTAAACACTGGTGTACTAGAACTGAGTTAAAGAAAGACAATGCAAAACTAATAACTAAAATGCACATAGTTTTAAATCTACAACATTACAGGGAGAGCAGGAAGACAATACAATGTTGCCTATCAGGTTATGAGACAGGTAGTTTCACAACATCAGGCATAGCTGGGGAAAGAACATCTATAATGTTTTCAAACTTCAATGGAAAATAGAAGCAAATATCTTCCTGCTCACCCTTATGTTGCAAGATACTGTCCCCCGATATAGTTGCAGGTGTGTTTACAACACATGCCGCAGTTAGCAAACACAAGGGCTATATGCCACTATTGTTCCCAATGGTCAAGAGGGAAAACTAGAACAACATGACAACCCTTAAAGGTTGAATTGAACATTCGATACTGTATTATATCAATAAGGTAAAGGCCCTCCATTAACAGGGAGCTGGTAATGTCCCAACGACTTAAAGTTGGGCAGACAAAAGATGACCTAATGTTTGCTACAGTAACTCATTTAAAAAATAATGTAATTCTCTGACAATGTTTAAATGTAAGGACAACGCTTACCTTCTTCACAGACAGGGATATGTTTTCCAATATGCGATCCTTTACTTTCAGTTGATCCATCACTGGTCTGCTGGCAGCTTACAGCAGGCTGTCAGCTGACTCCCAAGCGCAGCTATGTTATGCTAAAGCTAATGCCGCCCGTCTTATTAGCTAGCTAGCTAACATTTTCTTTACCTTCAATGCTGTTGGCTGCCAAGGTAACGACACAGCTCGGTGTGTCAAGTTTACACATTCAGTTTGACAGTGTCGGTAGTTCACATTAATGATGTTAATGTGAAGTACTTGACAAGCAAAACACTGTCAACGCGTCCGGTTAGCCAAGTAATGTTTGCCTAGCTTCGCGTTAGCTTAGCCACTTGACTTTTTTTCAACGCTGGACTCAAGGTGGGGGTGGCTAGCAAATTTTAGAGCCCAAACATGGACTTTTAGCAGGAAATGTAATTATCTTATTATCCGTTTTTCACTGTGTAAGCTATTGTGAATTAATTTAAGTTACATTTTTCGCGAATTTCTCTATTAAAGCAAGGTAATTACATCAAAGTCACGGATGCTAGGGTTACTTTTTGTGCTACTGACCTAACTGTTCTCAGGCTGAACTCCCACTGTCAGAACATTACGTCACTATTAGCCTCAATACGTACAGATTGAACAGCATTCAAAACGGACTACTTTAAAGTTGGATTTATGCGAAAACACAAATATTAATAAAATATGACTGGATTTGTAATCGTCAGAACTTGCTCCTCAAATCGGCTAGGGTGCATACTGCCGGTTTTAACTTATTATAAATAAATACAATTATAATTGGTTCACCCGGTCATTCATTCAGAAAGTAAAAGTAGCTAAAGCATGTTTATACAAATGTCACTTTTCATTGTCACTTCAGGGTGTCACTACAATGTACATCATTATCTAAAATTGCAACCAGTCTTACATTATTGATATGGCTTGTAACACTTCAAAGTTGAACTTTAAACATCTGTAATTCATTTTGAATAGAAGTCAATGATACAAGTTGAGTAACTTTAATTAAGTTCCTGATATCTACAATGACCATTGACACTACAAATAAATTAATCATTGATAAGGAATTTACACTTTGACTAGTGAGGAATTAAGTGTAGATATGTTTAATTAGAATTGTTACCTTTCAAAATGACATTATGGAAGGGTTGGCTTGGAATTCTCATTACTTAAAAAGCAATTATTGATATCTACTGTATTACCGCTACTGAATTAGATGCAAACAGGCCTTACATAAAGCACATTTCCCTTTTGCAAAGCATCTGAAGATTTGAATGACCATATTTTGAGTTTGGCATGAATACTCTCCATACCAAGAACATCATGCCAACCAACAACACTATGTCAGTCATAGCATATAGCATTATGAAGTAAAATACCATCAATTAGGTAAAGAAAGCATATACTCATGCAGTGTTAAAATGAAAGTACACTTATGTCAGGTCACAGAAAGGACAGGAATTTGTATTTAGTGGAATGTCAATATTTTATTGTTAAGATGACTCCAACTTTTTTGGAAACACTTATCAAAAAACAAATTAGCAGTTGGCATATTCAGTGCATGTAGTTACCACAATAAACTTCCCAGACTGAGAACATGTGGGTCAAATTTAGATATGGATTCCTTTCAATGTTCCAGGGCAAGTGCTTTACTTAGGAGATATTTTTATCAAATGTAAAGCAACTTAATACAAACGCTGACTGACTTCAGTACATTTATCAGGCTTTGAGTGATTCCAGAGTACAAAAAAAAAAAAAAAACCCAACCACTGCATTACAGTAACCCCTTTTGGCTTTAAGCCCCGATTTATTAAATAACCCAATAACCGAACAGAAAGTGTATTTTTTCGGAGGACTGCTGTCCAAGTCCTGGCGTGAAGATTCAAGACATTCAATTTCAGCTCTTCACACCACATGTTTTCTATAATCTCGTTATGCCTTCACCGTTGTCTCTCTGCATTAGTCTGACTTCTCCTTCTCTTTCATGTGCAGGAACACTATGCTGAAGATAAAGAGTCCGCCCATCATGGAGAACACGCTGGCGTAGTATGGGTAGGCTGAGGGGATGAAGCGCTCGTACTGAGTGTGCTGCAGGGGACGCACAGAAACCTGCGATACAAAAAAAGATAGACATTAAGCAAAGCAATATAAGAAAGAGGAACTATAAATGATTAAATCTCTGGTATTTTAGCCCATTTGCCACTTCCCTCAACCATACCAGCATTTTGATTTAAGTAGACTTAAGTGCAAGAAAGCTTCTGATTAACTTGCCTGAGTGGTGGAGTAGAGGTGTGTGAATCCCAGTCTGTTGTAGTCGACCTTGAACTGGAAGACTCCGTACACATCGGGCAGCTTGAACTGGACACTGTATTTATCTCCTTAAGGAAAGACGACAAAGAATGCATACAGTTAGTGACTGCAAATGTACAGCTGCTAACCCACATATTCAAAGCAGACTGTTTCATAAGAACAGCAACATACCCTTTCTCTTGAGATAAGTCCTGACGAAGGGATCGATCCTCACAAACTCGAGCTGAATATCATCTCCGTTGAAGGGAACCCAGCGGCCCTGGGACAACATCTCGATGACGATGGTGTACTCCTGCGTGGGAAAGTTTTGCACTTCAATGAGATAAACACGTAGAGAATACACACACTTTCTTTCAGGCTAAAATAAAAAAACATCTTCCGGGGATGATTGTTCACATAAACTCACCACAAGGTCAGTGATTGTGTACGCTGCAGGAGGAGAGACCTCTCCAACGGTGTGGTGGGTGACAGCTCCCACCCTGAGGACTCCGGCCTCCTTGAACACCCAGCGAGACAGAGCCTCGGCCAGCTCCATGTTCCCTGTCTGCTCATGCCTAACAAACACCACAAGAACTTTAAAAATTGATAATTGGACAATGTCTATGTCTTCATTAAATAACAATGTAACCAGTTAGAGTCGATCCCCCTTTGATGGGATGCAGCATGTTTCTTTGCATCATTTACAGTAGAATTGATCAGGTCAAGGGTCAGAACGTCATGGAGGTCATTGTGACAGAATCTGTATTAGCAATTATGATCAGTAAGTCTTACCTTGGGGAGCCGGGCGTGGCTTTCTGCACTGCAGAGTTGAAGAAGGCATCACTGAAGAAATCCAGGGAGCCGCTGAAAACCACTCGGGCATTGTTTCTGGCCTGAAGGCCGGCGATCATGAGGGTGTTCTTGCCAACAGCATGGGGGTACTGGAGAAGTTAGGAAAGTTAAATACCACAAAATCATGTTACATCTTTTGAATTTGCTAAATAAAAACAATTATCCATGGTTTCTGAGACTCCACAGAAAGAAATGTGCATCTCCGGCATAAATGAGGAAACGGTAGGGTATATAAACACAATGATACAGTTCTTTATAAATTAAGAATCTAACATAACTTTTATGTTCAGTCATCTTACCTGAGAGATTGGTCTGTCTGGGAAAAAGGAGTAGGCAGTGGAGGAGCCGGTCAGGATGTCCAGGACAAGAGGGTTCTCTGGGTCTGCCACCATGCTGCAAGGGGGGGGGGGGGGGGGGGGGGGGGGGGGGGGGGGGGAGTGCATGTTTGACTTTATATGGCTTGCATTTGCTGTTCATCTTTTAATGTTAATATAAAGCTGCAACACACCATCTCTTTCTTCAAAAGTCTCACAATAAAACTTTCCCAGTTAATAATTCACATTTAAACAATTATTTTTGGTATGACAAGTTTTTCAGAGATGTTGCCTTTTACTATACAAATGGGGCTTTATCTAATGCAAACCTTTGTTTAATTTAAGGGAAATCGAATTGAGGTAAAAAACAATCACCTAAATTATTAGTTATTTGTTTTTTCTCTTTCTACTAGTCTGAATAAAGACATGGCATGAAAAAAAACTAGCCCAAACTCCCAAAACGGACCGATGCATGATATATTATCCTTATTCTTTTTTTTTCCTATAGCGTATTAGCTATGTAAAGTAATTATTTAAATTGTGTAAACAAGTAAAAGAGTGAATGTCTCAGAATATCAATGGCGTCAACATACTAAATGTTAGAGTGGAGAATTGCTTTATCATACTTTCAATACTTAGTTATCAACATGTAAATCATGTGCTTCTGTGCTTACCCGACACCCTTGAATAGAACTGGTTTGTTGGTGGGTGTACCAACAATAGTTTGAGCTTTCATCAGGTTCTCTGGGTCAGCGACAATCAGGGTGTGCTGTAGAAGAGAAGGATCACTTGTAAATAAACACACAGACATGGAAATCTAAAGGCTTGATGTGAGAAAAAAAGTGAAGGAGCCTTCTGTCTGATCAGAACTCTGTTTACCTCTCCAGCATCAGACACGTCGTAGTTGTGATGGTCGATGACGGCGGTCTTCTCTTCATCAAACTCGACGCCACACTCGCTGCCCAGCTCCCTCAAAGGGTCACCTGTAAACAGGAGAAGACCATCAATTCAGTATATGCAATAATATTGTGTTTTTTCTAATATTACAAAAAAGGTGTTTTTTACTCACCAATATCTGAGTTCGCAGCAACCAGGACATTGCCTCCACCATCAATGAAGGATGTGATAGTCTCCACGTTTATGTTTCCTCCAAAGTCTGCCGAAGATCAAAACGTGATTCTTTTATCAAATCAACAAGTCAGACATAAGTCTGTCAACATGATTTTAACTGAAGAGTGTTAGACTTACCCTCAACTGATGGTGAGAAGATGACTAAATGGTCGTACAGGAACTGGCCGTATTTGATGAGAGATAGGGAGGGATCGTCAGCCGTCTTGAATGTGATGTCAAAGCCTCGATCTGAATGGGAGAGATACATCATGATGAAAAAGTTAAAAAAAAAAAATGTGTTGTGCATTACTTCCATACTTTAACTCCTTTACATTTAGCACAACATGTGAAAAACTTCCTGTCAGTGGTTATTGTCAAGGGTCATGTGAAACCACCAGAATTGTATATGTTTTGTTTTCAAAATAAAGGATTTTGGTTTCTACAGTATACATGAAACCATTCAAAAGGAAAGTGGGTTACCCCAGTGGTGGAAAGTAACTTATTACATTTGGAGGTACTTGTACTTTATTCTTCAACACTAGGCTACTTCATTTAGGAAGCCAAAACTAAACTTTATGGAAAGATGTTCAACATTATTTAAATAATAAAGTATTGCAATGATACTGTAAAAATGAATGGATCAATACTTATAATCAATGCATTACTTTTCCTGTTTTATCAGTAGTAGTAGTAGTAGTAGTAGTAGTAGTAGTAGTAGCAGTATTAGTAGTAGTAGTAGTAGCAGAGTGTTTCTACCCTGTGGCATTGCTAACTTTACTCAAGTAGATGATCTGGTTTTCGCTTTACATAATGCACCTGCTTGACATTTTCTAAGCAAAAAAGCTGGGAATAAATTGGCAAGTCCATTTACAGTATGATGGCATGCAAATCCTTAGTTAGCTCAGGAAGGAATGTCAACATACTGTTTATAACTTTATATGTATTCAAATCAATGTAGCCTTGATCAAATCCATAAGTCATATCTGCATGTTTGGTTGATGACTGCTGAATTGATCATAAAGTGCTGATTGTGTCAAATGATTAATTATTTTTGTCGTGACGCTACTAGAAGTACGCCAAATTCAAGAGTGTCCCTGTGTCTATTGAATGCAATGCAAGTCTAAATTAACAAGCACTTAAACTATCATTAGTTAGGTACAAATAGTATAAACTGCTAGCGCCTTGAATTAAGTTTGGCAAGACACAGCGAGCATAATAAAGCTAACGTTAGCCTAGCCGTGCTGCATGAAGCTAAAGTCTACAACAGGCTCAAGTCCTAAAGTCTCTAAAGTCATGTTACCTACAAGAGACCTGTCAGCAATACAAGGGGTGGTATAACAATAAAGTAAAGAGCATTTATGGATGAAAAAAAAACATGTCTTACTGACCTGCCAGACTGCGGAAGAAGATTGAATGGGTGTCTCTGATGTTGAGGTTGTCCAGTAGAACCAACGTTTTGCCGTCAGCCAAAGCACAATGCAACAAAGAGGATAACGCAAGCAACACAAAGACACTGTTGTCCAAAAGTCTGAACCTCCTTTGCGACATCATTCCGCTCCGTCTTTTGGAAGATAATAAAGAACCGGGCTGGCTCGTCTGCATGACTGCTGTCAACGACGCCATTTTGCTGCAGAAGTCGACGTCAGCGTTAGGAGACTACTTCACTTTGACCCCGAGCTGCAGCCAATCACAGAGAGGAACGCGTCTCTCCGGCTGACTCTCCGCCAATGGGAGGAAAGCTTTATTATAAGGCTGACCATCACGGAAGAAGTCCAGTTTGGGGAATGGATGAGAACTAGGAAGCGTATCTCTACAAATGTAAAGCATAATCATAGCTAAAGATAAATACTTCCATGACTTTATTGTATAAGGAGGTGCATTGCCTGAATCTAAAAGTTGTGTGGATGTTTGTCTTAAGAGATGTATTATGTTGGGAAATCATTTTAAGGAAAACTATGTCAATCCAATGAATATTTAAAGTAATATGCCATATTACTGGAAAGTGACTGTTCCTTATAATATATGAATTGGTTGCCCCACATACCTGGAAAGTCCCTTTCTCAGACATTCTAGGTATTCTGTGAACAATGTAGACTTAAAAGGACACAAGTAATAACAAAACGTTATTATAAAAAAGTTAAAATCAAAGCACAAAACAATGCGAGTGAGACTGTGATGATTTTTTATTGTTGGGATGTAAACTACTACCAGTGAGTGTAAGTTACGGATATCTAATACGAATCTTTCAGGTGTTAATACAAACAAAACAAATAATAACTTAAAAACATTGGTGTCAGTCTTTATACAAATGTGATCATTTTAATGCAATACCAAAAGAAGATGTCTTGGTATCACCAAAAATGGCAAATTGTTAACCAGGTTATCATCTCCACAAATGTTCCTTTTATCTTTTATCAGAGGTATTAAGACTTTTTCAGAGGACAAAACAAATATACAAATAGTATACAAGCAGAATTTTAGGTAGGACATGAATCCACTCTTCCTACTTCCTAGAAAAGGAGGTGGCAATGAACCCCCAAATAACTCTTTAGTCCCACCTCTGTATATGTAAATAATCTCTGTATAGGGTGAATTTCATGAAAATACTTACAACTAAGTACAATAAAATAGTTGGACTATTTAAGAAAAATGTACATATCTCATCCGAGAGAAATGGAAAAATAACGACAAGGTCATTTTTAAGGGGAAATGGGTAAAACAGGATTGTGATATCCTAATACAAAGGACAGAGCAAAGTCCAACATTTCAGTCAAAAAATAAACAAACTACAAGACATAGAATCCTGGAATAAGGATGCAAAATAACAACATTTTTGACCCAAAAAAAGGTTATATTCTATGTTATAAATCCAGTTTAGATTCACTTGTAACATTTGCAATCCTCACACGTTATTTCTTATATTTCCATCTCCTGTTAAATAATTACATTTATTTCCAGCAATATTTAATATTCAATATTTCTTTCTTCACAAATCTTCCCCCCTATGCCTAACTCTCACATTCCATCTCCTCTTCTTTTTCCTTCTCCTCTACTTCTGCTGCAGCTTCATCCTTTCCTTCTGTGTGGAGCTCAGTGTGGGTTTCCTCCTCTTCCTCCTCCCTCCTCTCCTCATGAGTCACCCCTTCAGTCTCTTCTTCCTGTTCTTGTCTCTCCCCCACTATCCCCCCCTCTCCCTCTCCAACTGTCGTTCGGAAGATCAGCTCTCCTCCTTCCTGGATGACTTGCTCCGCCGTGGGTTGCCATGTTGTGGCAGAATCCCCCTCGGCGGCAGTGGCTGTGGTGTATTGGTAGAAGTCGGAATCTGCCTGGAACATGACGAGGGCCTGAGCTGTGTGGATGCGAACGTGCTGGGCGAGGGAGCTGGCGTCCAAGAATTTATCCCCGCATGAATCACAAGCGTACAGGATCTGGGTGTTGGGGTCTGGGAACAAGAGAGGAGTTGAATTAATAGACTGATACCAATGTGTTTTTCAGTGATCTGGCATAGAATAAAATCCATTAAGTTCTTTAAAGGGGCGCTTTTATGCTCATTTTCAGGTTTATATTAGTATTTTGTGCTTCTACTGCAACATGTTTACATGGGTTAGGGTTAGGGTTGTCTATTTAATTTGTTTTACTTTCTATACCCTGCTTCATAAACAATGCTGACTTCGCTCTGCTCCTCCAAGACTGTCTCACATTCCAGGAATGTGACAAAATACATTGGTGGCACTTTTTCAAGACTTACATTTTAACCAAAACTAATAGGCAAGTATGGATGAGAAGTAAGTATAAGCTATTATATAAAACATACATTTGAACATCTACAATTCAATGACAACTCTTTCTGATGATGAAAACCACGTAAGACCATATAAAGCTCCAGAACAGCTATCAAATAGATCTGAAGTAGAGTTTTTATTTCAACATCCTGTCATTTTTATCTCTTTACCAAACTTGTTATCGTGTTGTGATGCAGATATTCAACTGCACATTCACACAAAAGTCCATTAAGCAAAAAGCATTTGTCTGCTCTGAAAATAGGTTTTAAAGCATTCATTGATATTCACAAATATTTGTGTATCCATGCCTATTTTAAATGTATCATTAATACTTTATGCAATAATACTGTTGATTGGAATTCTTGTGTTTTCATTAGGAAATATACAACATTTAGTCCTGATGCAGTATTAGTGAATGTGTGGATAGCTGATGTTGAATATCATAATAACTCAACCACTGTACCAATTCTGGCCATATACAAGAGGATCAGTCTGTAAAAATGCTGATCATTATTCCCCTGTGGCATCTTAAACCCCCACCACAGCTTTCCCCCTCAAATTAAGTTGAATTACACATTCCTACATTTAGTTTAGTATTTTTCTGTTACTCCAACTTGTGTCTAATATCCTGTTAAATGCAATTCCTGATCGCATTGTTAGTAGGATCTCCTAAACCAGTGAGATTATTCCATTATTAAAATACAGATGTTTGTGTGCATACTGTAATGTATTTTCCAAACACATTCTTACCTGCTTCTTGCACTTTCTCCACTGCCTTTGTGATTTCAGCCTTTAAAGCCTCAGTCTCATCTGCAGACCCTGAAGCAGCCACAGGAACTACTGTAAACAGAAACAACATAAACAAACACTCCTTAATGTGTGAGCCCTTTAATCATAATTCTTCTTTTATTATGTGCAGAAGTTCATGGTGATAAATACAGCTTTTGTCAAAGACAAGGGCATGATATTTCCACTAAAATCCCGGAACCCTGCGTTAAGAATTGTACTTGATTTTTTGTAAACCTTTGAAGGCTTTCATAAGATTTGTAGTTATTTTGCCATAATGTTTGAGGTTTTTGACCATTATAAGCTCCAATCATGCCCTCCCACTCTAACTAGTTTGGTTTTCCTGTACCTTGTCTGTATTAATAGTGAATAAGTTGAATACAAAAAAAGATGCTGTCTGACCTCTCAGCTGAGCCACGATGTCCTCCGTAGTGACGGTAACTATGTTGATCTCGCCGTCAGAGGTAGACGCGCACCCGTCGAGCCCCTCGTCTGCGCTGCCCCCGGCTAACACCAGCCGCTTCATGCCGGCCTTCCCTTGGTGCACGGTCTTGACGTGTGAGCGCAGGTTGTCCACCCGGTTGAAGCCTCGGCCGCATTTATCACACAGGAACGGTTTCTCTCCTGAGGGAGGAAACGAATGAAGTGAAAATGTAAGGAGGAAAGGCAAAGCAACTTTATTTGTATATTACACATTTTTACGCAATTCAACATGCTTAACAGAGTAATTAAATACAGCAAAGACAAACTATTTACTTTATAATTCTACTGCTTGATTTTGTTTTTTAACATAAATCTGTTATTTTCTTGATTTTATTAACGTGTGCTTGTCTCTTCATTTAGTGACTTTCTTTTGCTGTAAGATTGTAGATCACCCCAAAGTGGGACAAAAAAGGATTTCTGCTTCGTGGTTTGAATGTGAAAGAGGACAGACAAGACTTGTGTAGTTTAAATTAAAGTGGACCTATCATGCTATATTTGAATAATATAGTGTAGGACCATACCTATATAAGGCATATTTATACTTTTTTATTTTCAAAATACCAAACAGATCATGCATTTTAGCCATGCCTCATTTTGCTCAATTTGACATTTTTTAGCTCTGTTTTTGCAAGGGCAGATTCTGTGAGAACAGCACCATCTACAGGCCTGGCATATGTACTACAGCGTCTCCAGCGCTTTCGAACGGCAATGGCCGTGGCTATCTCCTCCGGATTGGTGGAGTTGGCCCAATAGCCGTAGCGCCACCGTCCTGACGTCAGGACAGTGTTCAAATCTGGATCAGTTTTTATCAGATCCGTTGCAGCCCCTTTTTTAGAGATTTGGGTATGGAGGAAAATAGAGAGGGTTGTGTTTTCTGACACTTGGTGAGTTCCCTGGAACACCGGGGACACATATTCATGTATAAAAGACGTACAAAAGTGCATTTTGCATGATAGGTCCCCTTTAAGTAAAATATTTATTAAAAAGATAACTTTGTCCTTACCTGTGTGGATGATAATGTGCTTGGACAGGTCTCCCACGTTAACAAATGCCTTTGAGCACATCTGACATTTGTGGGGCCGGACATTGTCGTGATGCCGAATGTGATTGGCCAGCTGACTGGACTGCACGAACCTGTCCGGAGAGAGAGAGAGAGAGAGAGAGAGAGAGAGAGAGAGAGAGAGAGAGAGAGAGAGAGAGAGAGAGAGAGAGAGAATTTATTCACTGGTCATCTTGTTTCCTACTCATTCACTGGCATTGCAACTAGATTTCTTCTAGCTGCAGATTTTGTGAAGACATTCTTGGCAGTATTTCTTTAATATGGTACATTGCAAATGCCACATGCCTAGGCCATAAACATGGTATGGGCTTCCTTACTATTCCTTATGCAAGATCTGCTTTGAGGCTCTTAATACATTATATGTCTTGAATAATTGTCTGTTTTTTTTACCACAGGTTGGTGTTTGCTCATATGTTCCTATATAATGTGTTTTCTGCTAATGTCAAGTCTTAATGCAGCAAATATCAACAACATTTTACAACAATAAAGTAACTTTAAGATACAATTTTAAATCACAGTTTATGTGCTCGGATCTCTCT